AAAAAACATATAAAATTCAATTATTTGTAAAGGATGAATCCAGTAAATAGTGTCACAGTATTTAATACATTTTGATGCTAATAATACATGCTGAAAATGTCATATACAGCGGCAATTTTCTTGTACAATATGGCTGAAAATTTCCAACCAATTCAACAGAGATAGTAAAACGACAGAAATACTGAAAATAAAATAATAAATCATGCAGTTTTAACTTACCTATGAAAGGTTACAGGTCCTCCTTTCACGAAACTTTCTTTACATCCATAGGCGCTGCAGCGAATAACCATTTTTACTTAAATTTTATGTGACCAAGCAGAGCAGCAGTCTTTCGTCCCATAGAAAACAATGTAAAGTATTTCCGGACTTTCAGAATTCGCGCAGCAGTCACGTGACACTAATGTTGGAACCGGTTGAAGGTTGCAATAAGCTCTCTACCAGTATATTATCTCGTTGATTCGTACAGGCGTTATGCTTTAGCAATTGAATGCTTTATACACTGGATGCTCCGTTGCAATGCCGTGGAGCTCCAGCTAAGTCAATCATTAGCCGCCAAAAGTTAATTACTTGCATATTCCATTGTAAAATATGGCCATACGCAGTTTCGTCTCATTCGGATAACTCCTTCTTGGTGAGTCACTTTTTATGTTATAGAGTGTGTATATATAATATATATATATATATACACATATATATAGTCAAAAGTCTTTAATCCGGGCTCGTCGGGACTTCGGCGATTCCGGATTATAGATCATCAGTTTAAATCTGGTAAGATGGCATGCAGAAATTATAAAATTAAAAATATGAAACCGTAATTTATAAAATAATGAGCAATTATGCTCTAAAGAGTATCAAAATTTACAAAAAAAGAAGCTTAATATTTATTTGTTTACTTTATTTAACATTTCTTTCAACGCGCGCATGCGTAAAGCATACATTACGCATATCCGAAATTAGAAAATTGCAACCAGAAAACTATTTGATTTGTATTCGTGATATTTATATCAAATCAAAGACGCAGTACATCGAGATGAAATACTACATTTAGTAAGGAATTATAAGCCGAATAAAATAAAAACATATGCCCTGAAGATAACGATAGTGCTGACAGATCAACTTCCAGTTCAATTGCGCGCCGCGACGTTCCACCCCCCCCCCCCCCCCGCACAGAGCAGCGTGAAATTGATAAACAGATTTCGGAACGGTTAGATAAACAAAGGATATGCCTTTATCCATTTTTTGTAGCAATTCCATTTTTTTTTTTTTTTTTTTTTTTTTTTTTTTTTTTTATTGATGGACATCGAAACATACTTTCGTTTTGTAGATCCTTTGGGAGCTCCAGCATCGGAAATTCTATTTGACATAATCGAAAGTTCAAGCTTACTTTTATAAAATTGCTCTTATAGTCTGCAAAAAATAATAAGCCGAATCCAATTCGAAGATTAAGGAACAACGCAATCATCAACATTAACTGAAATACATAATTAGATAAGTTTAGCTTATACCGTCCGTTATACATTAAACGCGCACGCGAAAACGTATTCTGCACTTGCGCACACGCAGATGCGTAGTCGTAAAGGTCTTGCGCGCACGCGTAAACGCCTATGCGCATGTGTCAACGCGGCGCATGCACAGAAAGATTTTAACTTTGAGATCCGGATTATGGGTGCCTGAATTAACGACTTTTGACTGTGTGTATATATATATATACATACATACAGAGAGAGAGCATGCACATTACAGAAAATTAAAAAAAAAGACTTTGGTATAGAGCTCAAAAGAACTGACTGTAAAAAATTTTTAAAAACATTAATGAAAAAGTTTTTAATTGATTAATGAAGGTTTCTAGATTTAACAGTCGCCCAAAACGTTTGTTGTTTTATGTTCTCGGTAATCTCGAAACCTACCAGTCTGCCATTGCACTCATTCCTGCTTTTTTTTTTTCCCTCCTGTCATTTTAACTTTATTATTAAGCGTACTATTTCACTATTTCCACTGTAGATATTTATACTAGATTGAAACCGAAGGCAAGGGAGTTAAAAGAATTTTAATCTAACTATCTTCAGATATGATGATTAACAAAATTTTTAAAAAATGTATTCATTTTTAATCCTGAATACTCAACAGAGAAATGCCTAGGGCAAAAGGGCAAATACAATTGAAAACTATTTTTATTGCTTAAGTTCCTAGGAAAATATGATAAATATGTCATGTTAATATACTGGAAATCATTGGGAAGTGCCAAGTTCAATTCAGAACTAAAAGCTTCTAGAAAAAGATGATAAATACTAAATTTCTTCAATTATTTTTATTTGTATCAATAAATAATGAAATTAAGTGCAGCCTGTAATGTACTTAAGGAATTAGTTGTTTTTAGTTCAATTCATTACATTTGTAGGTCTGGAATTATATGATTTGATTTTTTAAAAAAAAATTGTGTTGGTAGCATTCAACAAAGGTAATACAGTACAAAGTCCGTAATCCGGACTCGTCGGGACTTCGGCGATTATGGATTAGGTGTTTTTCCGAATTATAGATCATCAATTTAAATCTGGTAAGATGGCATGCAGAAATTATACAATTAAAAATATGAAACCGTATTTTATGAAATAAAGAACAATTATAATCTAAAAGGTACCAAAATTTACAAAAAAAACTTAATATTTATTTGTTTACTTTATGAAGCATTTCTTTCAATGTAAGTTGTTTAAGATGCTTCCACAAAAAATTCCTTTTTCTCGTGTCATCTAATGCCATACTCCTCACATAATTTTGAGACGGATATGCCTTTATCCAATTTTTGCAGCAATTCCACTTTTTGTTTGATGGACATCAAAACATGCTTTCGCTTTGTAGATCTTTGGCAGCTCCAGAATTGGAAACTCTTCTTGACATAATCGAAAGTTCAAGCTTAATTTTTATAAAATTGCTCTAACAGTCTGCAAAAAATAATAAGCCAGATCCAATTAGAAGATTAAAGAACAGCGCAATCTGCAACATTAACTGAAATGCCTTAGAATCAGTAAAGATAATTTTAGCCTAGCTTATACCGTCCATCATACATTAAACGCGCATGCGTAAAGCATACAAAAAAAAGTTTCTGGCCTTTGAGGTTCGGATTATAGATCATTCTGGATAACGGACACCCAGATTATGTACTTTGTACTGTAATAATAATCACTCTTTTGGTAGCATCCAAAAAAGGTTATAATAATAATCACTCTTACAATTACATTCTTGTATTCTACTAATTTTTCTTAGTTTAAAAAATTGTAGTAACTCCTGTTTGTGTTACAGATGATTTAATTTTGGAAAAATAAAAACATTTCAACACTGCAGTATGTCTAATTGCCGAATTTTAATGAATTATCAATTAATGTTATAATGAAAATTAGTTTGGTGAACCAGATGTACGACTGATGAAAAAAGCCCAATTGATGCTGAACCTAATGTCGACAAAGTAACTGATCCATCATTTATGAATGGGGAGGAATTCTATGAAAAGAAAATGGCAGCAACTGAAATAAAAAGCAAAAAATCAAGATCAAAAATTTTCAAAAATGCATAAAAACTCGTTTAAATTCAAAATACATCATTTCTTTGTGTCGCTGGCAGGGATGTTATGTAGTACTGAAATTATATAGCTTTATTTTTGGGGGGGGGGAAATTGGATTGACAACAACAACAAAAATGTTAGAACAAAAATGTTGGTGTTACTAATCCTCGAGTCCAGCTTCTGCTAGACGAGGTCTACAAGTTTATTCACCTTCAAGAAGTCATAAAATAGCATAGGTGACTTAATCAAATCTTTGTAGGACAAACCCAGACACCTAAGGATATGTGCCGGAGAAGCCTGCTCGTTGTTACATTTTGGATAAATTGGGTGTGTTTCTTTACCTCCCTAGAAGGCAAGGCTTCTGAAATGGCCCCTAAGAAAGCGGGAGAGTGTTGTCTGGGTGCATCTGTCACTGTTTGTAGTAAGAGATCCACCAAGGGATTCAACCTGGTACCAAGATTGTGTCAGAGGGACAAGCCGAGTCATTCTATCAGTATGTTTTCCAGCAGAATTCAGCTCAAGGTAAGTCAGACAAATGGAAGTAGCCAGAGCTCCCTCGTCATCCTTCTTTGCCAGGACGTCTGCCTCTTCATTTACCCAAATGTCCACACGTGAGGGAATCCACTGAATCTGCACATCACAAGAGGACAAGCCTTGTTTTAATTTAGTGAGAATTAAATTTTCCAAATTAATTTTTTTAATTTAGTGAGAATCCAATTTTGTCACCAATGTTACACCCAGTTTGACAAATGTTGGATGGCACTATGACTATCAGTCATAATCCAGATAGCTTTAGGGTCTAAAAATGACATTATATAGCTCAGTCTCTCATCAACAGCAAAGAGTTCACTTTTAAAAACTCGGGAATTCTTTTCTTTATTTTGACAATTCCATTGGGATCTCTGATAAGTACTCTATTGCCAACGTGGGAATCCTCATTTTTGCTACCATCAACAAAAAAAAAAAAATAAATAAATAAATAATAAATAAATAGTGTTAAATGTAAATAATTTAACTTCAGTTATCTTGAAATTCTGCATGCAATCAAATTATGAGTTTTAGAATTTTAGTTTGAAAAAATCTTTTTGTTCATATAAATAATGGTTTAATTTTTTTAGGGAAGGATTTCAAATCTACAGTTTGTATAGTAGTTAAATCCTAATTAATTTTTCAATGAAAATTGCACATTCTTCAATCCCCCCAAAAATAACTCTCATTAGAATGCATTTCATTCAGAGGTCAGCCTTTCACACATAACTCAGTTATATTAAGATTACTTCATATAGCATACTTGAATGTTTTTTCATTTGTTTATTGAACAACGTAGGATATATTTTATATGCTCCAAAAGTTCCCCCCCCCAAAAAAAAAAGATATTTAGGTGAAATTTATTTCAATGTAGTTCTAATATCTTAACTAAATGACAAGAATAATAATATAAAAATTAGCAGAATATTTGTTTTATTCATAGAACATAGACACATTAAGTTTAATTAATTTTACTTTAAAAATTATAATAATATTACAGCTAATGCGTGTCCTGAGGATCAAACAGCTTAAAGTAACATAGCATTGAATGCATGTATACACTAACATTAATTATACATACAGAATCCAATCAGCAACCATAAGCTAAACCATGAAATATAAAAACTGGTCTTCATAGAAAAAGAAAGTTTACAAATGCTTATAAAAACAGAACACAAAAAAGATTTAGATTACAACCTGTTTAAGAATTATTTCCGGTTTTTAAACACATAAGCATATGAGGAAAAGAATTGGACAAATACATCAATACATTAAGACTTCCAAATCATTTTAAAAAAGAAAGAAAGAAAAAAAGCACCACCAAAAAATCCCAATGAAAAATAAGTCATTATGCATGCAAAAAAAAAAAAAAAAAAAAAAAAGTTTTTTTTTAGATACATATATGAACCACAAACTGATATACATCATGAAAAACATATAACAATCTTAAAAAGTAATAAGAAAGGAGAAATATATATTTACAAAGGAAATTTGTGGGGCAGTGACATCAGACTCATCAACATATTTAAAAACAAGAAGTTTTATCCAAATATGAATAGTTGGATGTAAACTGTACATGATGAAAAATAAATACACATTTTCACAACATACAGTAACATGGTTAACACAGTAAAAAAATTGCAGAGTTTATTTAAATATCTGCCTTTCAAACTGAATGCATAAAAACATATAGTATATCCATACTAAAACTATTATTTACTTCACAATAAATTTTTGACACTTTTGCAGCCATAAATGCATCACTGAAAATGAGCATTTTAAAAAATTCATATATACAAAAGTCTAAAAATTTTTCAAAAACCTGGTGCCACATAAACGAGGAAAACTACTATCCTTCCACACTGGAGATCTGTCTATATTATACGATTAGTTTCTAGAAATAATATAGATTTAACATGCAGTTTTTTAAATCTAAATGCACAAAGTAATCAGTTGTATTATTTCAGCTTGTATTTTTGTAAATGTAATAATTCAGTAATACTTGAAATAATATGCTCAATTTTACCAAATGTACAACTTTAGTTAAGATATTTCCTGTATCAGTGCAATACATATATTTGACCAATTCTCTTTTACACTGCTCTAGTAATACTGGATGAAACATGCAGATCTGTTTGATTTTCCACTTAGCTTTTTAGTGTTTTATGTACTTATGTCTTATTGTTATGTATTTATGTTTTATTTACTTCACGATGTACATGTTAGTCTAACAATATAAAGGAGAACAATCCAAGATGAAGATTACTACACTATTATATTGTGCAAGAAATATCAAAGTTTAACACGTAGTTTTGTATAGAAATGAGACTTTATTGTAACTGAAATTGTATCTATAGAAACAAGTTTTGTTGCAATAATAATACAGAGACTGAGATGGGACTTTCAAAGATTAAGTATTTGGTTGACATGGCACCTAGCTCTAAAGACTGCAGAATATATATATATATATATATATGTACACATATTTACATAGGATTCTTCGGAATGCAATTTAAGAAACAAAATTACAAAACTACTAAAAGAGCAAAAGAAATGACACTGATGATGAAAACATGCATATCTACAATAAAGCATACAGTCTATGAATTTTCATAAAAATTTCTTTCAAGAACCTTTTACAAACCAAACCAGCCTCTGAAACATCTGGCTCAGTGTTGTTTGCAATCAAAATTCAGCATTTATACTCTTTGTCGAATACTCTGTGTAGTCATCATACACATTCGTAATCTTTGATGCTAGCAGTCATCATTCAACATTCACAATTTTTCCTTAAAGCTGTTTGCAGCCTTAAATCAGCATTGATTGTTTTTGCTGAATGATGTCTGCAGTTGCAGGATTGCAATCGTATTCTTCTGCCTGCCTATGACATCATGTAAAAAAGTCTTAGTCCCTGCCTGTCTTATCACACAAAGTAATGCTGCATTCAGGAAAAATCCCTAAGGCATGAACGCTGTGCAGTTTGTTTGTTTTTTTTCCTTTACAGCATGCAGCTTAAAAAATGAACATTTCCTGAATTTTTCTCACTAATATGTCACACAATTATTTCTCGAATGATCCTTCTAGATCGAGAATTGGGGGTAGAGTACCCGCTCTCTAAACTTTCATCAAAGCACATAGAGTTGTGATGAACTTTCTCATCATCTCTCATGCTGTAAGGATCAGGTAGACCACTCACATCATAATATGGAGAATCTAATTTAAAAAAAAAAAAAAAAAAATTTAAGAATCTGAAAACACACACATTATAAATCAGCAATTAAATTTATACATTAATTTGAATATTAAAAAAAATATATAAGAAGACTTTTTCTTAATTATGCTAAAATACCAAATAATAAACAATGTATAAGCTAAAAATATTGTATATGTTAAAAAAACTAATAAAATATGAATAAAGATAGACTTAAGAGGGGAACAAATCTCCCAGCTCCTCCCTACTAAATTTTAGGAAGAAATGAACTCACAAGCTAAGCCCTAACTATAAAATAACAATAAAAGCTTTTTAAAATAAGCTTTTGAAACTCATAAAATAATTAATGAACTAAATAAGAGGAGAAAAATAGTTTATCATATAGTTTATTCGGAAAAAGATATTAAATAGTTATTTTTTACAAAAACTATTCTACAATTTTATATCACAAATAATAAAAGTGTAAGGGGCCCTGGATAAATTTATGAAGAAAATGATTTATGCTTTGACACTGTATTTTGAATATTAAATAAAAGCTTATTTCATTAAAAAAATGTTATTTTTTGTTCTTAGTCTTTTTTTTTTTTTTTTAATTAAGAAAACAAATACAAAACTCCTCGTGTAAATAACTCATAATGATACAAGGAGATACAATTCAACAACGAAAACATAATATCGAGATCTGGAGAAAGCAATGAAAAAATATAAAATACAAATACTATTATAACAAAAGTACTAAAATATGCCATGAATAATTAACTATATTAATACTCTTATAAAAGAAAATAAGCCAACTTAAAAATAATACAATAATAATAAAACTGAAATAATACTTAAAAATAATACTAATACAAAGGAAAATTTATACATCAATACATAGAATATTCATACATAGAAAATACACAAAATAATACAATGACAGACAAAAGATTAAAATCCAGTCATATAAATAATAATACTAAAAGTTCAAACAACAAATAAAGTCATGCAAGACTGTAAAGGTTTTGGAACCCCTAACAAGATCATAGAAAATAAGAGGCCAGCTTCCAAATAACTTGAAACATTAATCAATTGCTAAATTCTGTTCCTTTTAAGAATGATAAAAGGAAATGCATGATAAATGCAAAACCTATGTGTAAACAAACAGGAGAGGAGAAATGGCATCTATAAAATGACAGGTCTCTCTATGTAAACTTAATTTCTTTTTAGCAAAGCAAAAGAGACTTAATAAGCACATAAATAAAATCACTACATATAGAAGCAAGAAAAACAATACAACATATTACATCATAACTTTGGATCTCCATTGTCAATCACATAACCTTGAAACTATGTTTCCAAGTGATACCCAAAGAAGAAGCAATACTTTTGTATTCTGTTTTATACTGGCACATAATTTTTCCTTTAAAAAAAATGCAAAATCGCCCAATTAATATCTTTTTAGCCTTCTTGTTTTAAAAGAGGGCATTTGCATAATCTATGAAATTTTCAAACTGTAGTAACAGATGAAGAAATTTTAAAAGATGATGCTGAAATTTTAAAAAAATAGATCTCAAACTGTTGAAAAAAAAATTTGAGCATTTTTCAAAAAATTATGTTAAAAATTTCATAAAGTTTCATTCAAATCCCCCTCCCATTTTATCCATTGGTGCAAACAGAAATTTCTGAGATTTTTAGTTTATTCATTAAGCAAAGATACATGCAACCATAGCAACAAAGCTAATATGACTGAGCTAAATAAAGACTTATAATTCTGTGACACCCTAGCTAGATAGAATGCTTAACAGTATTCTGAAATACCATATATGAATTAAGGTATTAAAAAAATTATTCTTTAGACAAAGAGAGATACATCTACACAAAAGGCAGAAAAAAATGGTGATTTTAAAAGAGTTCAGTAATTGCTCTTCTCATGCATTAAATACAATCTTTCAGTTTATACAACACTGAGTCCCATAACATAACCACACAGCAATAAATTTCTTTTCTTTTCAAACTCAGCATATTATGTCTGTTGTAATCACAGCGTGTTTTCTGATTATGATGTTGCAGGATGAACTTAGGGTATAATGGTAAGTATATGGTATAGGGCATGATGGTATGATGGTAACAAACTCAAAAATTAAGATATTACATAGTGCAAGATCCAGTGTATGTTAAGAGAGAAAATGTTGTCTTCATTTGCAATACATCTGATCTAATGTTCTCGAAGAACATTATTGACAAATACATTTTCCTGGAAAATGGATGGGTAGATTTATCCAGTTATAGAATATAGCTGTCATAATTAGTAATTAAACTGGGATAACAATCAATTCTTTAACAAGCTGCAAAATGAATCACAGGTCATGATCGTTCCAGATGGGAAAAATGAACTATACATTTCTTGTGGGACATCACACAAAAAGTACTGACTTTTGGACAGTCACATTTCAGCATCTTTCTATGTGCAAAACTCCCACTACACTATAATCTCAAATCTGGACACCTCAAAACAAAACACACAGAAACCTTTTCCTGCTACCATGACATCTTGAAATAGTCCCTTAGGCCCATAATAAGTAAAACTACTGGTAGCATAGTAGAAAGTTGGAACAAAATCTGCAGTTCAAATAAATCTGAAAGCTATACAAGATGCAGCCTGGTCAAACAAAATACACAGTTTTATTTAAATGTATTCTTACGTAAATGTTCTCTGTTTTTCATGTTCATCATCTCATCATTCACAGGTTTAAAGTCACTGCCACTGTAGTAGTCATGAACCATTTCTCCTTCAAATGGATAATATGAACCATCCGGAGGCATATCTCCATTTTTCAGAAGCATATTTAAATGTCCATCTGGTCCCATGCAGTTTCCCATATCACGTTCACCGGGATATAAAAGACCTGCAAAGATTAATAAATGTTAATAAACACATATTTACACAATAAAGTTACAAGAATAATATTATACTCATAATCACATATAAGATCATTTTACATGATTCTATAAATCAATGCACCAATAAATAAATCAAATTAATATGGATGTCAGGGTTCATACACATTTCTGCCCACGGAAATTAAGTACTTTTAAGGACTTTTAAGGACCTATAAGCAAATGGGAACTGAATAAATTCAATTAAAAATAATATCTATGCTGAACTTCACTTTTGTTATACCATCCTAAAAATAAAATAGATCCATAAGTAGGATGCATTAGTATTAAATATAATTATTAGTAAGTTTGAGAATAAAATAAAGTTTATGAAATTTATCATTAAATATTTTACTCTCATATTAACTGGACATATTTGAAAGAAGAAAGTGACGTTTTATTTAGGTTTTACTAACAGTTAGCTTTGATTTTTTTTTTTTTTTTTTTTTTAATGTCTCATTTTGTCACATACTTGCTCACTATATGAGTTTAGTAAATAGTAAGTAGATTTTATGTCAAGTGGCATAGGTTAAAGTGAGAAGTAAAATCACAATCAGCATGATTCAAAACCAAACACTGGCTGTTGTCGCCGGTCCTGCTTGCCTAGGAGAGACTTGATGATCAGAACCAACCTTAAGGCCTGATGTAAGCACGGTTCGCAATTTTTAAAGTTAGCTAAGGTCTGTCTGACGCAGTTAATGCCGTAGCTTCTTGTAGAGTTCTAGGTATTGTAACTCAGTTAATATAGTTTAAGGTCCTAATAATCCACTAAAGCACCAGAGGTAACAAGTTGTTTTGCATTATTTTAAGTCTCACTAGATGCAAAGAATAGGTTTTACATGAATTTTTACATTTTTGTGTTTTATCTTGTGACTACGATAAGGGTTAATGAAAGGCAATAACTTGCTTTAAAATGCAGAGATAATCTTTAAAGGTAATCAGTGAGTTATAAGTAATTAAATTGGGTGTTAGATAACCTTAGTCATTATGGATTTACATGGCCACTATTAAATTTTATTTATTTTTTAACAGTATTTGTTAAAAAAAAGGCCACACATTATTAAATCACAGCCATTATTAAATCACAATCTAATAAATTTCACAGTTTAAAATACATTTAATTTATGGCATTGATTCTTAAACGATATTAGGATAATTACACATTAAAAGCTACAAAATATTTATATTTTGTGGCAACAACACTCAACAAGATATTTATGCGCCTTTTTAATTTGAAGCCTTCCCAGACATTTTGACTAATTTATATCAATTTCCTTCTCTTTAAGCATCTTTTCTAACAGTTAGAACTTTGTCTCAATACGCAAGACAATGTTCTCACTAGTTTCTACGTTTTGTATATCCTAACCTGTCAACCTCTCCAAAATGTACCTATGAGGGTTTACTTGATCTGGTAAAAGTTAAATAGTCCAAAACCCTCCAGACAGATGTGAAACAAATCATCGCTATATCTGAAAGTAACTACAAAGATTTAAATAAGCTTCTTATTTAAAAAAAAAAGAACATAAGCATGTTCTTATGCTAAAAAATCAATTACAGCTCATGGTGATGTAATTAAACAAGAAGAATCAAATGCAAAATAAAAATATGGACTAGTCATCAAAGACTATACAATTTCATTTTAAGCTGACTCAGTAAGTCTATTGTCATAACAAATTCAAACGTCCGCAGCGGTAATGTAAAGACGAATAATTGCAAATTATCAGGGCTGGCAGGAACTAATGCAGGGAGCAAGCTGAGATCAGAAACACATTCCTGTCTTACACTCCAAAAACCTCAGTTTAAAAACTGTTTAAGTGATTTGCATTCTGGTGAGAAAATAGAAATGGAAAATCATCAGTAAAGGCTAAATGTGAAATTGTAAACAACTGGGTAATTTACATAATAATATATGTACATATCTTTGAAGAATAATTTTCCTTTCTCTTAATGTATTCAGTTTTTTTCTTCTATGTTTTCTTTTCATTTTATGAAAGTTTTTGGATTTAATTAAAGATTTCTGTTATTCTAAAAATACTAAATGCATTTAGAATGTATAGAGAAAGCTGCTAATTTTATAGTAATAGGAACATTCAGAAGAAATATGCAATATATATGGTAAGGTCCAGTTACACAGCTGGTGTGGCAGAATTTTTTTAATTTATTTACACATCGAGCAACAAGATCTAGAAATGTCAAAACTTTAGAATTTAGAACAGGCATTGGAAGCAAAATTTACAAAGGCACCAAGCAGCACAATTTAGCGTGTATGATGCATTAAGCATATTAGATGAATCGTTTCAAATTGTCAGTTTTCAATTTATTAATAAAAAATGTTATTTTATAATGCCTGTCATAGTGATAAGATTAGAAATAAGCTTGTATAAGAAAAAAGGGAAAATAAAAATGTTAAGAAAAAGATTCTAGTATCAGAACTAAAACATTCAACTATTATGTTTTTATTGCTCTTCCAGGTGTTCTCCAAAAAGTAAGAAATTATGTATTAATACCATGGAGACATTTTTCATTTTGCCACATTTTTCTGGAATCTTCCAGAATAGTGGATCTATAAATCTTGCCTTCAAATCTTTCTAAACTTTCCAAGCTGCAATGTCTAAAATCAGAAACAAAAATTACCCCTGCCAATTCAGTAACAGCAAAAAGCCAAAAATATTTTTTTTTTAAAAAATCGGATAAAAATGTGTAAAATTAATTTTATAGAGAAAACTGATGCATATTCTGAGACAATTACATGAGGAAACCCTTACCAAGAAAAAATTAAAAAGAAATTTTTAATTAATTACACAGCTATTTTGCTTATACCTTGCTTATTTTTCAGATTTAAAATATTGTATAAAAAGTGGCCAAAATGGAACTTTATAATACAACAGTAAAAAATAAAAGTGCTTTATTTTAATGTTATTTCTTAAATGTAATTACAATATATTACCATTATTTTAATGAAACTTATGTTACAATGTTCACACTTGCTCAAAAATTCTATCCCACCCTTTATATTAGAAATAGGAACAAATTATAACTCATGAACGCATTCACCCATTCAAAAGATAATGATATTTGTCCGAGAATTGCCAAAAATATTCCTCCAAAATGCTAATTCACACTCAAAATGGCAGTCATAAAAACAGAACATTCAGAAATTTCAGATGATTAAAAATTAAGGACCTTCTAACGATTTTGGCTGAAATTAAGGACTTTTAAGGACCAAAAATCGATTCCAAAAAACTTGACTTTTAAGGACCGTACGAACCCTGGATGTAATACTGGAGCATGCTAACTGCTTTTCTTGAACATATTGGGTTCTAGAACCTGAAACTCATTCTGCGTGTCAAATTCTTCAATGCAAAAACCAATGAAAAGTTTCAACTTTTATGACATTAGTTGTTCCTTTCTTATTGCAAATACTATGTTATTTCAAAAACATGTTTAATCAAAAATATGTATGTACATATTATTCGAGTAATATTCAAATGCAGTCTGTTTTATATGTATGTGTGTATGTACGTATATAAGTAAAGACATAAAGTAAGAAATTTAGAACCAATTTTTTACAAAAAGCGAAAATTGAAATTTATAAGTAATAAATTTCAAATAATCCTATAAATGAAAAAAAAAAAAAAATGTTTAAAAAAATTTAAAACCAAAATACTTCAAACAAGCAATACCCCAATTTAAAAAAACATCAATGTAATTTAAAGAAAAAAGAATAAATTAGAAGAGGAATCCAATCAACTTCAATACCACTTCATCAGAAGGAAAAAACACTGAAATCAATTGAAATCTCTCTTCCACAAAAATCATTGCTTTTCTGTACCCAGAATTAGCTAATGAATCATTTCAATGTATTTTAATTATAATAGTTCAATCAAAAATTCTAGCCCCTTCCCTAAGCAAGGAAAGACAAAGCTAATTCAAATTAAATTTGTTTACTTTTAAATAAATACAACTCTATTCAAATAATTGATAACGTAAGTGAAATAATAAAATACTTTAGGGGGAAATACAAATAAAAATTTTACCTTAAAACAAAGAGAACATTATCCAAAGAATTGAAAAATAAGTGAACTTATAAACTTTAGTGAAAAGACAATCTAAATGGAATTGAAATAAAAACTCACAATAAATAATTAAAAACTTCAAGCACCTTCAATTAGAACACAACCTTAGCATAGTGAGAGGAAGGCAGGCAATGAGAGTGCACATTTCAGAAAGGGGTATTTTTAGTGTTGGCTTTGTTGAATAAGAGATTAATGCATAGCAGGAATAAAAGGAGGAGAGAAAGTATTCTCTATTTTGCAGTGTCATGGCCAAGAGGTTTAGAGATGTTGCTAGCATACAAATGGGATGCATAAGATGGATATAATTCGGAAAACCACAAGTAGCTGGATATTCCCACATAACTTTATTTTCTTGAAGAGTAATTTTTCAGGATGTATATCTTTTCTTATGAATTTATCTTGGTTTACACATCACCATGGATAAGATAAGCACTGCACATTCTATATACAACCTATCACAAGCTGAGACAATACAGTGAAGCAGTCAACCAAGAAATAGAAGGCAAGATCAAGTAGAAAAGTGATTGTGCATTTCAGCAAAGGGCTATTCATAAAATCAAAGTTTGTTTAAACTCTGGGCTGCTATTCGACAAGAGCCTTACAGCACTGCAGATGACATAATGTAGGTTAGTATTTTCCCAGTGAGGCAGCTTAGATTCCAGGAAAGGGACATAGCCAAATTAAAGTTAGTAATTTTGAGATTCATATATTTTTTATCTTACTCTCTCTCTCTCTCTCTCTATATATATATATACCGGGTGGCCATAATTAAACTGACAGTGCTCACAGTGTTCTGTAGCGCGATCTATTTGCGAGAATGATGCCATATTTTGTAAGAAGATTAACCAAGACGGGGGACAAAGGATTCTGCGAAAAAACGAATTAGTTCCAAAAGTCACCGCTAGGGGAATATTTGGCGCTGTGTAATAGAAAATAGAGTGTTAACAAATGCAAATTAATACAGAATAAAATACCTTTTATTATGCACATTTTCTGATTTAGTTCAAGTGCAATATGGCAACACTTTTAAAAAAGCGTAAAATCTACATAACACCGATAAAGTCTCATGATCTGCAATATCATGTACGCAGAGCAGAAGAAGAAGTTCTTTATTCAAATTTCATGTTACATCCATTCACACAGTGCCAGCTGCTTGGGTTTTAAAAGGCAATGTGTTACGTTTCGAATCAATCGGATTGAAAGTTTATGTGCAATGTTTCCTTCTTTAGTCGGGCATGTGTTACTGGTCAAATTCTTTTACCTCAACCAGTGCAACGCGTCAGCTGCTCTTCGTGTTTTTAAAACGCACAAAAAGTGCATAAAGGTAATGCTCCTGTGTCAGTTAATGGGCTAAAAGCAATGGTTGCGACGTTTGAGAAAACAGGTTCTCTGAAGGTTCAGTCAGAAACAGCACAACAGAAAGAGTCATTAGCCGCTACTTTCCAACTGCATGGTCACCTCGGTCGCCTGATCTTACCCCATGCAACTTCTGGCTATGGGGTTACCTTAAGTCCAAGGTCTATCAAGGAGTGGTCCAGGACCTGGCTACGTTGAAGGATAACATATCACGGACTGTGCGGGAGATTCCTGCAGACATGTTACTTTCTGTTGTTGTGCATACTGTGCACAGAATGCAATATGTGGTCCACAACAATGGCAGCCACACTGAACCTCATTTGAATGCAAAATAAAAGGTAATTTCCGTATTGATTTGCATTTGTTAACACTCTATTTTCTATTACACATCGCCAAATATTCCCCTAGCGGTGACTTTTAGAACTAATTTGTTTTTTCACGGAATCCTTCGTCCCCGTCTTCTTTAATCTTTCTACAAAATGTAGCGTCATTCTTGCAAATAGATCACGCTACACAACTCTGTGAGCACTGTCAGTTTAATTATGGCCACCCGGTATACGTTCTCTAACCTAAACTGAAATGTTTCTTAAATTTCCAGGATAGTATAATCTATATAATAAAAAATTTTATATTTGGTAAAGTGTATACATATAAAGGCACTCTTTGTGGCTGATTACCTATTTCCTTTTCAAATATTAAGTGAATGCATCAAAAAATGCAAATAAAAATATCTGGGTGTAACAAAAGTTTTCCGCCAAAAAACATTAATAAATTTAGGGAAAAAAAGACATGAAAGCAGTACCTTTACTGCAGGTAGTAATCACCACCCAAATCTATGATTTTCTGCCAATTCTTTTGGTAGTTTTTCAAAGTCTTCAGCACAGAAACTTGGTGGTCATAAAAACAGATCAACCTTATTTTGGACATCCTTTGCAGAATGGAAAATAGCACCAGTAAGATGCAGCTGCAGATGTGAAAAAGGTAGAACTCCGAAGGAACGATGTTGGGGCTATATGTTGGGTGTGGCAAAAGATCCCATTCGAGTCCATACAGAGTCCAGTCAGTGAATGCAGACACAATGTGGTCTTACATTACTTTGATGGAATATTTATTAACCTTTTTGCATCGGAACTTTGTTCAATGTTTTTCCTTGATAGCAATGTCAGCATGGGTTAGTATCATTAGTATCTCGCTGTTGACCTAACTGTCGAGGGTTTTACCTTTTTCCAGATATTATTTGTGGATACCACTGTAATCCCCCCCCAGATACAAAGCATGATCTTTTTGTTAGTCAAATTGTGCTTTGTGATGCTGCTGAGGGGCTCACTAGGTGCAGACCAACCCCCTTTTCAACTTGTGGTGTTAAAGTAAATCCACTTTTCATAACAAGTGAGTATCTGGTTCAGAATTTTCTCCTCGCATTGATATTCAAGCAAATTAGTGCAGGACATGAACACATCGGTCCTTATCTGCTTGAGTCAGCTGATGTGGCACCCAGGGATTGAACTTGCTTGTCAAGTTTATGCGATGCATAGCATGACTAAAGGCGCATCCACACGACTATGCTAGCAATGTAAATAACACAATGAAACATACGTCACCGCCAAAAAGTCATCCAAATGGGGACGCAAGCAAAATCTGCATTTAGCCAATAGAATTATTGAAATGAAAATTATTGAAAAGAATTCGCTCACAGAAGGCTGCAAGTTCAAAGTGTTTCATCTCTCAGTTCGTTTTATAGTGAAATTTTGTTTATTAAGCAATTTAACAACTCAGATAGTAAGACTAAACAGTTACTATCCGCACAAATCAGCTTAGGGAAATTAAGACTTCTAAAATTGTTTTGGAATACAGTACATAAAAAGAATTAAATGACTTGAAACACCATCCACTATATAATAAAATTCACTATATATTTTAATAGTTCGCACAAATAAATTAGAAGAAAAAAGTTCATCTAATTAAATTTCTAAAGATAAGCTTTTTCTAAATATTTTTAGCAGAATGTAACATCAGCCCAAATGCTCTCAAAACTTGTATGTGCCTGTAAATGAAAAAAAAAAAAAAAAGAGAGAGAAAAAAAAAAGCCCGTTTTGGCATAATATGGAATCTGAAAGCTTTCAGATTTTTTCTTTTGTTTTCTTTTTATTATTTCTTATTTTTAATTATTTTTTAATTTAGAATAAGGTTCAGATTTTGGACAGTTAATGTAAAATTATGTAGAGAATATTATATACAATGAAGTAAAAATAAAGAGATCATTTATACAAGAGATGCAGATATATCATTACATAATGGGTTAATGGTTTCTATTTAGAGTGCACATTTTTAAACTAAACTGAAAACAACAACAATAATAAATAAAATAAGAAATGAAAACAATAATAATGATAGTTAAAATAAGAATAAAATGATTCATAAGAAACAGCTTTCAAAATGAGAAAAGCTAGCGTTGATTTATAGTGGTTATTGGTGAGATTCGAACTCGCAACTCTTCCCATAGCAATCCAGCATGCTGAACACTCGGCTGTCTGTAATAGTAGCTTTCATGAAAAATAATGGAACAATTAGAAATCACTGCAAAGGTAATTTTAATTAATATTCAATAAATGAGTGCTTTACGGCCCAAGTTGTAACTGTCCTCGAAAATTTTGGAACTGTATGGAATACTCTTTCACAGTCAACTGCTTTATTTTAACAGTTGTTATATTGTTGAAGTTAGTTTTTGGTGTAGTTAATATTGGAATACTTATAGTTTCCTGTTACACATGAAAAAATTAATATTTGTAATAAATAAGGAGAATTTTGTAAGGCAGAAAATTTGATTTTGTAGACTGTAATTTGTTTAGGCCCCTGTTACTTACAGTGTTATATACATGTGAAGTACATGGTTATACAGGTCAGATCATTGCTTTATAAATAAACTGTTTATTCCTGTGGACAGTTATAATCCCTTTTAAAAAAAAACTCATTGCTATGTGGTTTCGACACCATACTGAAAAGTGTAAAGAAGAAATGTTTTTCCATATAAGAAACGTGATAATAACTCAGTCAGCTACTGGCTGTTCATTCATGTTGCGAGTGAAAAAGCTGAGCACGAACAAATTCAGGTTTATGTCCTGTGCGTAATGCGAATTTATGCCAGTGAAAAAAAATATAGTGGCATATATGTGGTGAACGTACTCGTGTGGATAGGCCTTAATGGACATGGCACTAACGTCCAACTCCTTAAGCAAGCTCTTGAGTAGTTGCATACCGATCTTCTTCCACAAGTTCTCACAGGTGAACCTCATCAACATGAGTAGGCTGGCCAGAGCACTCCGCTTCTTGAATGCCATAGTCCTTGTTTTTGAACTGTCAGTACAAAATCCTCACAGTATCACATGACATAACATTAGTATCTAAAACTGTACACGATTTGGTGACATTCTGTAGCTGATGTTTTCCAAAACAACTGGAAGTAAATGATGGTTCTAATCTGGTAGCGTGACAGTTCTATTTCAGATACCTTATACTTATTGACAAAAATATTTATTTGCAAATTTTGCAACACAGTGTTCTAAAGCAAATCTCTTTCTTTCAAGTGAAAAGAGTCATTTGACAAAATATGATTAAATGCAGCAATGCAAACTGTTTTCGCTTTTGATATCTGTGGTGGCAAGAAACTTTCGTTACAACCTGATATTACTACATAATAAGATAACTTACAGTTTACTGAGAAAATTTTCAAACTGGAACATGCACATGAAATTTTAAAACAATAAATTAATCTTATAATTTTCTAGATTAATCAAGGTAACTCAGAAGAAAAAAAAATACCACACTTAACTAGTAATCTTTATAAGCTTAATAATAACTTTCTTGCAAATTAGCTTGTATAAGTAGATACCTTTAAAAAAATTCATATATTTTTCCTGTATATACCAGATTTTCAACTGGTAAAATATTGCTAAAAAAACTTGCTTAGAAATATGATATTAAAACTAATCTTATAGATTTATACTTGTTTCTTAAGGTTTTCTTTTGAAAGCTTAATATCAAATTATCATAAACATACGACATTTTTTTTATGTAGGCAATCTAATAGAATATGAAGACTTCAGATTTAAAATGTGAACTGTAAATAAAATTCTAATAATTTACCATGATCAGGAACACCTGTACACATATGATCATTAGGAGTCATATAAATATTAGGCTTAGCTTGGGCATCTAAAACATCTCCATGCTTAGTTAAATTTTCTTCAGAATAATAAGGCAAAGTAACTGGTGGTGGTCCAGCACTAGAAGATGGAAAAGAAATAAAGGTTATTATGAGGGAGAGAAAAAAACTGCAGTAGTAATTTAAAATATTACAAAACATTTTTATGTAATGAAACAAGATAATCATCAGTGGCTGAAAACAAAAAAATGCTATATAATTTTTACATATATGGTACAAAGTCCGGGATCCAGATGTCTAATATCCAGAATGATCTAAAATCCGGACCTCAAAACCTCCAACAACTTTTTTTTAAAAATTATTTATGCATGCGCACTTGTTTTTTTCCTTCGAAGATAATGTGGAGTGTCCCGATTCTTAATTTCTCTTCGACACTAAATAAATATCTCATTATTGAAGAAATAATTTAGTATAAATTTGTGTGATGAAAAATTTGGCTCCATACCTGTGTATCTGCTTCGCATACATCTCAAATCGAAACATTCTACATAGAAATATTGTTGATATTACATCTACTAGTATTTTGAATCCCTGACGCCCAACCTGGCGAATCATTATTTATTATGCTTTGCTTTCATCACCACATGTTTATCAATGAATGACAACTTGAGTAATGACTCATGCAGCTATGCCCAAACAATTATTTTTATATTAGTACAAGTAGAGTATGGTAACCTTTTATGTTGACATTGTTATGCTTGGCAGTGATTACAGATTTAAATCAAATGTGCTAAGAAATATGAGCAAAAATTTAACAAAAATTTCCTCCCATATGCTAAAAAAAGATTTTGCTAATGATACTCCTAGGCCAAAAGACTACATTTAGTGCTATCTGAATTAATAACAACTGATTTGTTTTTCACATAAACTCAGAACCGGCGCCAGAGCTCATATGACCGCACCGGATGGCAGAATTTAGGGACCACAAGATTTTTGGAATTGAGAGAATCACCGAGCAACAAAATTAAAGAATGCAAATATTTTTAGAATTTAGGAAAAATTTCCAAAATTTAGGGGCAGCAAAAATTTACAACTTAGGGAGGTGCTTGGTAGCAGAATTCAGGACCAGCAGAGACTGCATCAAGTGGTAAGATACCTTGCACCAGCACTCAGTAAGCATTAAGTATATGTGGGAATTCCTTTATTCAGGGTTCATGAGCATGTGCAAGAAATAGATGTACGTATAATAAATAACTAAACTAATAACAATCAGGTTTAATTATCTCAGTGCACGATAGAAGCAAGACAAAATTTAGTGGAACAACTTGTCTTTCCTTGCCAATCTCATGACACATAGACAATAATCTATAGCAGATGCTATTAAAGTAGGCTAAAATTATACTTCATTGATTCATAAGTGATTTCAACCAATATAACAGATTGTGCTGTTCCTTAACTTTCTGATTTGATCCAGCTTAATTATTTTTTGCAGACTGTTTATACTACAACAATTTGATGAAAATTAAATTTTCAACTTTCGACCATGTCGAAAAGAGTTTCTAATTCCCGAGCTGCAACAGAATCTGGAAAATGAAAGCATGTTTCAATATCCATTAACCAAAAAGTGGAATTGCTGCAAAAAATGGATAAAGGTATATATATATCCGTCTCAAAATTATGCGAGGAAACATTGGAAAGCCAATTGTGTATGACATAAGAAAACATAAAATGGAACTTTTTAAATTTTTGTGAATTCTGTCACCCCACTTGCAATAAATAACAGAAAAATTATTCGTTATGCTAAAAGTGAAGATCAAGACAAAGTGATAAATGAATGGGTTAGGCAGCGTCGCAGCGAAGGCTTGCTATTGACAGGTGAAATACTAATGGTGCATACTAAAATATTTCACTAAGAAAGTAACTTAAGAGCTGAGAGCACATACTTGACAGGTTGTGCCATGGTATATGGCAATTAAGAATTTCGGGTAAAAAAGCTTCAGCTGAAGCTTCTGAACTATTTGCAGATGAATTCATTGAACTCATTAATAGTTAAAAGTTATCTCCAGAACAAATTTACAACACTGATGAAACTGGTCTTTTCTAGAAATATATATATTCTAGAAATTTTTAAATACTGCAAAATATTTTGGCAACCTCTACAGAATAGGCTCTACCTCGTGTCAAAGATTCCAAAGCGAGACCAGCAATTTTAGCATGTGCAAATGTGGCAAGAACACGCAAGTGTACTTTTCATAATAGGAAAAAATACACGACATCAAACATTTAAAGGAATAAAATGTTTCCCATTATATATCGGACAATTAGAAGAACATGAATAAGCATTAATGAATGACTGGTTTGAAAATCATTTCATACCCGAAGCTCAGTAGAATTCAATTGGTTAATTTGATAATGCGAAAATTGCCCTGATTGTAGACAACTGTTCGGCTCATACTTCAATTAAAGTTTTAGGGAAAGATAATGTATCCGTATTATTCTTTCCTCCAAATTGTACATGAATCATTCAGCATTCAGCCTATGAAAATCGGAATGACCACGCACTGAAATGCAAATGTAAAGTAGAATTTTTTAAATCTATGCTAAATTTTTTTAATATGGCAAGACTATTAAAAATTTTTTAAAATACTTTAGCATAAAATCTGCTTTACAGAGCATCGCATGATCATGAGAGGATGAGTCTCTAGATATTTTTTTAAATGCTTAGCATAATTTATGTCCAGCTAACATATTTCATGGTGAGGTTGATGAATTTGATAGCCACAAATGTGAAGATTTTCGGATATCACAAATCAAAGGTTAAATTTTACAGTTAATGGATTTTTTAAAGAAATGTGGAGAAGCAGGAATAAATAGAAATGATATAACAGAAGCTTTTCATTGCAATCACAATGCCCCAATTATCAATCAATCCAGAAAATACTACTACCGATAATGAAGAAAGTGAAAGAGAGGTTATTGAAAATGAAAAAATTTTGGTTGACAATTTAGTCAGAATTCTCGACACAGCAATTACAGGACTTGAACATTGGAAATTTGTAACTGAATAAGAAATTACTATGTCTGTCTACAGAATCAAAGACAAAATATTAACAAAAAAATTTACATTGAAATAAATGTTTAATAAAGAAAATAAAATATTAAGCTTTTTTGTAAATTTTGTTTCTCTTTAGATCATAAATGCTTCATTATTTCATAAGCCTCGATTTTGTATTTTAAATTTTATAATTTCTACATGCCATCTTTCAAGCTTTAAACAGATGATGTAATAATCTGGAATCACCGAAGTCCCAATGAGTCCAGATATCGGACTTTGTACTGTATCTAAAAAGGCTTTAAGAATGGTGTATATAACACATTGTGTACAGATATAGACATATTGTTTTTGTCTTAACACTTGCAGTGCATAATATGAGATTGCAAGAATAAACACAAAAACTGGGAGTGTAAATGTAAATTATAGATCATTAACTGCAGTTATATATCTCTTATATATGCATGTCAAGACATATAACTCTTCGATTTGCTTAGTTTAACACATTTGCTGCCGATCATGCTCTGGTGCATGATGTGGTGTCATTGCTGAAATCACAAGCTTGTGCCTAATGTGGTGTCTTAAGTACATAAATTATGCAGAACAAACAAAGCACATTTATTGTTCTAGCATGAGCTGAGCTTACACAAAGCAGTCAAAATTCAGGGTGTCCCATAAGTCCGTAAATATTTTTAAAATTCATAAAAATTGAAGGAATTGATAGAAATGAATGCAGTTTTCAAAAAAGTTATTCTCGTGAAGCGGGATTTTTTTGGTCAAGAACAAAAAATAATTAAAATTTTCATCTATGGAAGCAATGCACAGATACAGTAACAAGAAATATGCAAATCAGAGTCTATAAATTGCAGTATGATTAACAGCTCATTAGTGGATACAGCTTTATTAGTGAAGTTATTTTACCTCAGCCAAGAATCACCCACTGAAACATTACAAGGCTGTTACACAGAAGAGATGGAAAAAAGAGGTTAAGGTTCAAACACTCTTGCTGAACTGACTTCCCTGGTACGACGTTTCAAAGAAATGGAAAGTTTGTGTCATCACGTTTGTAGTGGCACACTAAGTTTATCAGAAGTTCATACTTCTGATGCAGATTGACACCCTAAAGAAATATTCAATCAGTAAATAGCGCATGAGAATTGGCATCGAATTCTGGTACACCAAAGTCATTGGTATTTTGCATCCTTCACAGTGTTTTAAAATTGTAGTCCTATAAGTTGCAATGAGCCCACCAGCTCTTATCAAATGGCAAAGTTAAGTGATATAAATTCGCAGATTGGGCTTTATCGAAAATCAATGATGATCCACAATGGCTTCTCAACATCTTGTGAACAGATAAGGCAATTTTAAATTGTGTGAAACAGTCAACACCCATAACTGTAGAATCTGGGAAAAAGAGAACCCACGTGCCTATACTGAGAAGCCCCTACATTCACTGCATTTAACTGATTCATGTGGTTTCACTACATCCATTATTTTGGCTCTTTTTTCTTTGAACAGGCTGTGAAAAAGCTGGCTGGAAGACCTGCTCAATTACTGGAAAACAGTACTTGCAACTGCTGCAGGAACAAGTGATACCACACTTACAAGAAAATAATGTCCTTGACACAGTGACGTTCATGAAAGATGGTGCAGCTCCTCATATCACAACCAAAGTGAAGATGTTCCTAAGAAGAACTTTCACCAAAGAGTGATTTATTAGCTGTCACTGTAGAAATGAGTGGTCACTTTGCTTGCCAGATTTAACACCACTTGATTTTTAGCTTTCGAATTATGCCAAGTCCAGACTGTACGATGATAGCCTATCTTCTTTGGCACAGTTAAAGGATGCCACTCATCGCAAAATCTCTTGCAGCCATTCGAATATGCTATATGCTGCAGTTAATGGTGTTGTAATTCGTTTCCAAACTGTAATTTGTGGTGATGGCAGACAACAGAATAAGAGTGACATGCTTGTAAACATTTGCCTGCATGCAAATAAATATAGTTTTCCTTCAACTGTGCAGTTTGCTATCGTACAGCACCCTCTATTGACAAAAATTTTAACTATATATATATATATATTTTTTTCCTTTAGCAAAAAAAAATCCCCCTTCACAAGAATAACTTTTTCAGAAACCGTGTTCAATTCTATCAATTCCTTCAATTTTTAAAAATTTTTAAAGCATTTACAAACTTATGGAACACCCTGTTCTTTAATTTTATACAGATGAGAAGATAATGCACAGTACTAAGCAAAGAATCAATCTGCAATGCATTTAGCTACTACAGTCAAAAGTCGTTAATTCGGACACCCATAATCCGGAATGATCTATAATCCGGACCTCAAAGCTAAAAACTTTCTGCGCATGCGCCGCGTTGACACATGCGCATAGGCGTTTAGGCGTGCGCGTAAGACCTTTACGACTGCGCATATGCGTGTGCACAAGCGCAGAATACGTTTTCGCGTGTGCGTTTAATGCATAACGGACGGTATAAGCTAAAATTATCTAATTATCTATTTCAGTTAATGTTGATGATTGCGTTGTTCCTTAATCTTCGACGTGGATCCGGCTTATTATTTTTGCAGACTTTGTAAGAGCAATTTTATAAAAGTAAACTTGAACTTTCAATTATGTCAAATAGAATTTCGATGCTGGAGCTCCCAAAGGACAAACAAAACAAAAGTATGTATCTACAAAACGAAAGTATGTTTCGATGTCCATCAAACAAAAAGTGGAATTGCTGCAAAAAAAATGGATAAAGACATGAAGAAGGTGACAGAGAGGTTAGTGAAAACGAAAAAATTTCGATTGACAAGTTAGTCGGTATTCTCGGCACAGCAATTACGGGACTTGAACAGCAGAACTTTGTAACTGAACAAGAAATTATGTCTGTTTATAGGATTAAAGAGAAAGTATTATCACATAAAACGAAGCAACTTAAACAACTTACATTGAAAGAAATGTTTAATAAAGTAAACAAATAAATATTAAGCTTTTTCTTTTCTTTTTTTTTTTTTTTATTTGTAAATTTTGATACCCTTTAGATCATAATTGTTCTTTATTTCATAAATTACGGTTTCATATTTTTAATTTTATAACTTCTGCATGCCATCTTACCAGATTTAAACTGATAATCTGTAATCCGTAAAAATCGATAATCCGGAATCGCCGAAGTCCCGACGAGTCCGGATTAACGACTTTTGACTGTACTATATTTAAAATGACTATGTACTTGTATTTATTTTTTGAATTTCATGTTTTTGTATTTACTTTAAAACTAATTATGTCAGAATGTGCGTTATTTATCAGCATTTTGAATACCACTACATTTATGCGAGTTGCATGAACACTCGCCATATAAATAATGTTCAGCATTATCTGCAATTTCACATAACTGTGACAAATCTTGCATCATACTGTCCATGGATATAAGAGAACAAATAAATTATATTTTCATTGCCTTTGCATCAGACACAATTGCCAAACGAGCACCAATATTTAACGTACTTCACTATTAAAATAAAAGGTGCTCTAATTCTGAAATGAACCAAACAGAGCATTAATTATAGAATGACTATAATATTAATAATAAAAATAAACTTTGATTTTAGCTTTTGTAATCGGCCAAATAAAAATGACTAACCTTAAAATTTCTTTCTAGTATAATTAGCAAAAACATTTCATTCAAATTAAAACTGTTCTGGGAGAAGTATAGCATTTAATTCCATTCAGAATGAAATGTTGTTTTAAAATGTATTTCACATACTTAGTACCCTGAAATATTGTAGAAAAAGAAAATATATACATTTATACTTATATTTATGACTTAATTACAAAATGTTTACCTTCAGTTTTGTCAAAACCTATGGATCTTAACAGCAAAGTCACTGAATTTTTTTGGTTACCAGGAAGGGGACATCCATGATTACATTTTATCATGACTAACATAGCAAGATGTGTATTCAATGCTTCTTAGAGTTAACATACATCTTATTAAAATGTGTAATTTTTTTTTTTTTTTTTTTAATAACTGCCCCAGAAAAAAAATTATTTTGCATATGTCAACTGTACTATAACAAAACTGCATGAATTTTGCATTAACATATATAGATAAGACATAGATAAAACAAGAAATCACAGACAGAAGCATTCATACATACTTTAATGTCTTTATTTCCTGCTTCTTCTTACTTCCTAAGTAAGGGAAGAAAAGATGTTTTAGTGTTTGATTTAAACCCTCCAAAAATACAGAAAACTGAACTTGCAAGGTTTAATTAACTCTGTTAAGACCTATAGATATACCTTTGTTTCCCCTTTTACAGCAGAAATAGCATATAAATCCCCCTAAAATGATAATAGAAATTATGCCGGAAGTAGCAATAATTAGAACCACATTTTCAAAACTCACAGCACCAGCAGTCTCAACAGAACGAGGAGAGGAATCTGAAAACGCAGAATATGATAAAATTCAGGTTAATGAGTTTAAACTTGGAACTCTATTAAAAGAATAGTTTACTGTCCATAAATAATAATAATAATAATAGCTATACTGACCCATAAACTGGATCCTTTAGATAGGCATAATAAAACGTATTTTAAATTAGAAATATGAATATTACAGAATTACCAAAAATGCAAATATTACCAAAAATAAAAAATATAAATGCAAAATATTAAACAAAAACATGTTATCCAGTTAATTAAATATAAAAAAAATTATTATATCAAACATTTATTATTGATGGTGCAGTATAATGTAATAGAATTTGAAAAATCAGCAGACTAATCAGTTTTTCACAAACAGTAATTTTTGTTAAAACATTGAAACAAATCTCATTAATTCATGACAAATAAAAGACAGTGATAGCAAAGTTATGATTGTATACAGAGGGGGGGAATAGTTAGAAAAATAATTAAATTTTCTAAAGATTTACAAATATTACATAAGTTATATTTATAAATAACTTCTGATTCAATTTGAATAAACTCTAAGGGGTTTACCATCAAAAGGACTAGCAATTTTTGCATCTCCACACCAAGATTCATTACTTTGAAGACACAAAGTTACTCTCACATCACTGAAGCTCTGATCACCTGGTTTAAGGTACACAGTTTCTTCAGGTGAATTTATTTCAATGTACTTTTGTAAAATCCACTCATCAGAATCAGCATATCTAGCTTGCACCTGTAAGTAATAAATCTCATTTTCAAAGTTGACATAAAACACAGAAATATTATAAAACTCAAACAAATTAAAACTTAAGAGCATGAAAATCAAAACACATACACACTATGAAAAATACAAATAACCTCCTGTTAGCAGACACTTGAGGGACTAGGATTATTGTTCGCTATTAAAGAGTGTGAACTCAAAGGTCATGCATTGGTCTGCTACTTTAAAGATACAGGGATTTAGGTATCTTGAGTTAATGAGAAATTTCCAGCACAGTATCATGTCCATCAATGTAGGTAAAATTCTATATAAATATCACAATAAATCAGTTTTTGCTTTATGTGTAATTTCTAATGTTGCCACTTATTCTTTATAAATTGAATGCGTTTTACTGTTTGTTGTGTTGTTATTCAGTGGCAGTGAAACACATCTATCCAGATGAGAGCAATATGTTTAAGGAAACATTCAGTTAATTATAAGAAAAAAAGAAAAATAATTGATTATCTAAATAAATTCCAAAATAATTTCCTTACTTTTGCCAAAAGAGGAATTGGAGGTGGATCAACAGAAAATACAAGTTGACTTGATTCTTTATCAAAATGAGCATCTAAGGCACGAGGCAAATCTGCAACGAAAGTGAAATCACTCATTTTTTACACCAGGCACAAAATAAAAGGAAATATAATAAAACTATAAAATGTATTTAATTGAATATAATATTTAAAAAAAAACTTACCTCTCAGATTAGCTGGTGGGAAAAGGAAACAGAAAAAAAAATTAATTTTCTAATACAAATTTCTCATATAGCATATTTATCAATGAAATTTTTAAAAAATAATCTAAATGCCATTAATCGAAACAAATATTTTTATTTACAATTCATTTCAGAATATTTCACAACAGACTGGAAAGCAAAAATCTTTTTCGTGACTAACACAAATTACTGATTTTATTTATTAAACAAGCATGCCTATTTTGAAAAAAAAAAAAAATTAAATAAAATAAAAGTTTGTAACATGAAGTCCACAAGATGCTTATCAAATTTTAGAACATGCATTAAAAAAATCAATACAAATAAATACGTAGGCTGTTTTTTAAGTAAGGTCCGGTTTTTTTTTAACAACAACAATATTTTGTTTAAAAAAAACCTTTATTTTAAAATTGAACATACCTTTGCCTATTTTTCCATGTAGTTGCTTAGTTTATTAATGCACTTGTCGTACCTTAAAACTAAGTTGTGAAAACCCTCTTCAAAGAAGTCTGCCACTTGACGTACCTTAAAACTAAGTTTTGAAAACTCTCTTCAAAGAAGTCTGCCACCTGCTCGGACAGCCAAGATTTCACGGCCACTTTCACTTCTTCGTTGTAACTGAAGCGCTTCCCACCAAGAGTGTGTTTGAGGTACCGGAAAAGGTGGAAATCACTGGGAGTAAGATCGGGGCTGTATTGTCTGTCCATAGTCCAAAATTTCCCAGCCAAAAGATTCGATTAAGTCACCAGTCGTTCGAGAAGACTGAGGCCTTGCGTTGTCGTGGAGAAGCAAAATTCCTTTTGACAGCATGCCGCACTGTTTGTTTTGTAATGCTCTTCGGAGCTTCTGTAGAGCTGTGCAGTAGGCACCTGAGTTAATCGTCATTTCTGCTGGCATAAAGCCCACCAGTGAAACACTGCACCAGTGCTAGAACACTGTTGCCATAATCTTGCACTTTGACAGTGTTTGTTTGGCTTTGACCTTGATGGGAGAGGATGTGTGTCGCAATTCCATCAACTTTTGCTTGGATTCAGGGGTGATATGGGATATCCATGTTTCATTTCCGGTACTGATCCTCAACATGTCATCCCCTTCTTCCTCGTAATGAATCAAAAAGTCCAATGAGGTGGCAAACCTCTTTTCTTTGAGTTCCATTGTGAGGAGTCTGGGTACCCACTGAAAACACAATTAAGTTTAGATTTTTCAGTCACAATTTTGTACACTGCTGACTGAGAAACGTAGAGAAATTCCAATGAAAGAGTGGTTCTAATGAATCTACTGTTCTCACAATTTTTTGTTTCAAATGCATGCCACAACACATTAGTGATTACAGAAGGCCGGCCTGAGCATTCTTCGTCATGGACATCTGTACGTCCATCTTTAAACTCCCTGACCCATTTTCAGACTTTACTATCACTCATTGCTTCAGTGCCATACGCTTCTGTTATCTGGCGATGAATATCTGCAGCCGACATGTTTCTCACAGTCAAAAAACAGATAACAGATCATATCTCGCACGTGGCGGGTGATTCTGTTATGGCTTGAACTTATACAGAAACTTTAAATACTGATTAATATTGTTTTATTTGTTTTTTGTTGTTTTCAGAATGGCAACAAAAATATTATTCAATTTTTGTTGTTCTTGGAATGGCAACAAAAGATTTATTAATGATATTGTTCTAAAGAGTTGTTTACATTTGCTAAAATCGAAATAAAGATTATTTTTGATTTAAAACGTGGATTGATGTTATTTGATGAAACAGAGTTGTAAAAATAAAGATTAATTTGGAGCCAATAATTCAATCACCTTAAACATTTTAAAGATGCACAGCAAAGCTTACACAACTGCTACACAGCTGAAACTGGCTCGAGTTTGTTGGCAAAGGATGCTGGTCAGTGGTGCAGCGACTCATTGAGGCGTTCGCGGGAACTAGAGAACTATACACGCCAACAGATCTCACTTAAAAAAACAGCCCTCGTAATATTGAAGCATCGTTACCTTATATGAAGTACTTACGTTTTGTCTTTACAATAAGTTCATCAGAATAGGGACTGTAACCACGTGGATTTACAGCAAGTACTTTGAATTTGTATTCAGTTTCAGAGTGTAAACCTAAAATGAAATAAGTAATTTTCTTAATAATGTTATACTTCATCAGTTCTCACATAATGTAGGATTATATAATTAACTTAGAAGGTGATATATTTCTGCATCTGCATGCATATATAGAGTTAATTACATCAGTGCAATAATTTTAATTAAATCATATTCCAAACTTACCAATGATTTCACACACAGTTTGTGTTCTACATGATTCATTTCTACCTCGTGTATTACCAGCAATTGGCCAGTATGTTATAAGATATTCTGTGCTGGAAAATCCACCATTAAAGCCTTCATTCCATCTTAAAGTCACTTTATCGGAACTGGCATCAACTAACTCCACGTTAGATGGCCTCTCTGGAACACCTAAAAATCATATGCTTCTTTAGAAATAATTAATCAAAACTATTCTTTAATGATGGCAATGCCAATTTTATGAATGGAAGATTGAACACATAATGCAATATTTAAGTTTATGATGGTTTTAAGAAGATACAAAGCATTTTAATAGATATGGCAAAAACTTTTGCTTTTTGAAATAATGATATAAAGACAATATATTAATTTCTTTATAACTGTAAGTGATTAAAAATAAAAATTGTATAAATATTTCCAGTTTAATTATTTTCATTATAAATATTTTGCAATAAATTGGCGATTTTTATAGGAACAATGCTTATGTTGATTTCGTGACAATCATAAAAGTATTTAATCAAAAATTTTAGATCAATTATTAAAAAACTAAAACATCTAGAATAAAAATGTAATTCTAAATATATAAAAATTGAAATAATTAAAAGGAAAACATACCTTTCTTTACTAACTTTATAATGGTTTTCTTATCTCCATTAATTGCGTTATAAGCTCGACAAGTGTATTCACCATAATCATCTTCTGTTATGTCTCTGATAGAGAGTGTCCCGATGTAAGTGTCACCTCCAATATCAGTGACATTTGTCCCATAATTGTTGTAATTATTCCCTTCAAGCAATCTCCCATAATGATGCCATTCAAAAGTAGGTGCTGGGTAAGCTTGCATTATACATTTTAGGACAGCTGTTTCTCGGGGGTCAAATGCCACTCTGTTATAGGTATGCTTGACAATAGGTGAATCTAAATGACCATGGTAAATATATAGGTCTTTGTAAATAAAATCTTATAATATATAAATTAGCTATTATAAATAAGTTATTTTTTCCATAGTTTTGTACCCAAGGATAAATTTTGTATTATGTTTTCCTTATACAATGATATTAATCTTTTTAGCACTAATATTTCTTTTTAATCAATTTGGGAACATTTTCGTAATATTTATTACCTAAGTAAGTGTAAAAATTTCCTTTACATTTATTTACAAAACAAAGATCACAAAACTGAAATTAGATAATTAAATTAGTAAGAGAGTTTAAAAATAACTAAAGTAGATACAAATGACAAAATTATACTAAGAAATTTCTAAATTAATGCAAATGACACATATATTATTCACATTAATTTAGAATTTTTATTATGCTAAAGTATAACTTTTATATCCTGACATACAGCATATACTGACAAATCACTCAAAAGTTTAGTAAAATGTATAATTAATACAAATTGTTTTATAAAGTGCAGTACCATAAAAAACAGTTAAGTAAATTAGCCTTATAAAAACCAAGATAATTTAATTAAAATAAGTTTTTAAAGATAATGTATTTTCACTTACGTTCAACCTTTAAAACCATATCAGAGAAGTCGTTTTTAAAGCCATTGTCATAAATGCATGCAAATTTTCCACGATCCTCTGAAGTGAGACGACCATTTTTACGATCTCTTCCTTCAAACTTAAGAGTACTTTGAAGTAAATTAACATTATTGTCTTCAATACTATTTATACTTTCTATTTTAAAGAAACCACTATCTGCTGGAATGGTTTGCCCATTATGTGTCCACTGAACTTGTGGCATAGGTTTTCCTCGAGCTCGACACGTAATGGCAAAATTTGAATCTCCTTCTTTTTGGATCATATCAGGTTTTAGCTTTAATACCATGGAAACTGGTTCTGAAATTTAAAACAGTATAACATTAGAATAATAATACATATATATTACTTTCTTAAACTTCAGAAACTTTGATATAATTAAGGAATTATGTAATTATGATTGTTTGAGTTAGCTTTTATAACAAAGAATTAACAAATGTTTAAATGAATGAATAGCATTTTAAATTTTCAAAATTGTTAATGGTAATAACAGAACAAGTAACAATGCAACTAAATCTGTTGAAAGAAAATGACAGTCTTTAATTTATAGTTCAATATAAACTTGTAAAACAGAAGGAAAATTTTTTTAAATCACATTATGTCGAAAAACTAAAATTTTACAATAAAGCAACAATATACAGTATAAGTTATTACTGTCACCATTTAAAAAATAATGTTTATTATTAAAACATATAAAATTAATAATTAATCCTATGATTTTAATTAGTTACAGAGTTTACATAAAAAATACTGAAATAAAAGTTAGGACAAAAGTGGACCGATTACGACAATATTTTGTTTCAAATATTTGCCTTATGGTAAGGGTAACCAAATGTTTTCAGTTGGCCACACACTTACAGGTTTAGTATTTTGTTATGGTGCCCTCGTCATGTACAACAAAGTGTTGTACTTTATAACCTGCTTACTACATAGTTTCATAGACAATCACAATAATTCATTAAATATGACTCTATACTGATACTAGTGACCAGGTACAGAAATGAAAACAACAATTTGAGGCTCATATAGGTATATATTGAAGCTAACCCTTGAGTATGCCAGGTGCTCCCAAACTGCGCTCTCACATATTGCCAGCAGTCATATTATGAGCCTCTTTTTCAAGGAATGCATGAAAATCTTTGACACGTGCACCAAGTGACGAGAACATCAGGTGCCTGCCAAGCACATATTCAGCTACTTGAGCCTCTCTAGGGAGGATATTTACCCAACCCACTCCTTATGCTCGACTTTCTTAGAATCAATGGTCTTTTGGATCTTGTCTGACTCTATCAAAAAGAAAAAGCAACAACATATTGAAGTGATACACAAGAATATTATATTATCATTAGTAGAGAGAATCCATGAATATTTCATGATATTTTCTTCCACAAAGTATTTTGCAAAGCATTCAACAAGCTTCAAAAGGTATTTTGTGAAAAGAAACAGTAATTTTTGAGAGATAACAAGCGCATTGGAGAACGTGTATTTATGCAATTCAAGGAAAACAATCCTTCCCACCATCCTCATTAATTTTTCTTATCTACAACTGCAGTTTTCTTCTACGCTGCAATATTCTCCAATAGTTTCAAGCCATGCATATTATTGCCTTGTAGAGACACATTTAAGGCATTCAGTTTGTCAAATATATTGCACAAATATTCCATTGTTAGTAAAAAGTATGGTTCGGAAAGTATCTGGAGTTTGCATCTTGCAGAAAAGTGTGAATTTCTTGATGTAGCTCGAATGCATGGGATAAGACATTTCCACATGAAAGCCATCATGAACTGCAGTAATATAGCAGTGTTCAGCTCCCATGTCCATGCAAAGTTTTTTTGAATAGTTTGGCTTTCAGTAACCTAGTTTTTATGTGCTTTGCTACGTCCATGATACATTCCATACAAAATTCAAATCACAACTCATTGACTTTAATGCAAATGCTTCCAATGGGTGATGCAATGGGTCCACATAGCATATGATGCTCGCAATGATGATGAACACAACAGTCAAGAGTAAACAGGAGCACCTTGTGCCACCTCATGGTGCTTATTAATAGAGAGAGCAAACTTTAGGAACCCCTGGCTTATGGGAAGAAAGAAATATAATATACACATATTATCTCAAGCACTATAATTAGTCTGCTATGATAGATTAAATTTTTTAAAATATTATTATAAGATTGTTAATCATATATGTTGTATAATTATATTATAATGTATTATAAAACTGATTAGTTACATAAGAAGTATCTATGTTTAAATAACATATCATCATAAACTGTGATTAACACATCTGCTGCCACTGACGCGCTGGCACGTCAGCATGGAGCTACCTTGTTTGCCTGCTACGTTCTGGGATGATGATCGACTGTGATAAGTTATATGCTTTATTTTTAGTTCAGCTTTGGGGGTTGAATGAAGAGGTTTTTGAGACATGTTAGTGAAGCATTATTTTTATATCTTAGGTGCATGGTTTTCAAATTTTTTGTTTCAATTTTTAATGTCCATTTTTAAAAATGGCGGACAGTACAAGTATTGCAGGGCCTTCACAAACTAAGAAAAGGAAAGTAAATTAAAAAAAAAAAAAAAATGACTGAAACCAAAATATTAGAATTATTAGAAAAGAGTCATCTTCCTGATTATGCCAACACAGACGATGAAGATTATGGGTGGGTTTCTACAAGCAAATTGGAAGGAGATGGTGATATTGCGGTGGACATCATAGAAATGTCGGATTCTGACACAGGAGATGCAACTCAACAATTTCCGACAATCAGAAAGAACAGTCTTGTTGTCTGGAAAATAAATTCAAATTGTATGAAAAATATTTTTTGACATTTTTTTCATAAGTTTGACTTCTTTTTGTCCAATTATACTTTTTATTTCTTTTAAAGTGTGATTTTATGCAATGTGTCAATAATTTCGCAGAAAAATTATGCCAGTGGCTTAATTTTTCTGCTAATTAAATTAGCAGAATTAATTTAAAATTACGCTTGAGTGCCAGTGGCGCATGGGTGATAGGTTGAACTTGATGTACCACTGATGCTCTAGAGCGTCAGAAAAAGTTTTTAAACTAAGCCTGAAAATAAAAGGTTTTTCCATTTTTTCTGGTTTTACTACTAAAATAATAGAAACACTTTTAATCCTTAAAACACTATTTTGAAATTCAGCCTCTGATGATGGATATATCAATTTTACTGCCAGCGAATGTGTTAAGGTGCATATGTACATAAAGAAGTGTTAATGAAGCAACATTTTAAAGCACTATCTTCATAAAAACTTACATAATAATACAGAACACATATGCTTTAGTATAAAATATTTGTTACATAAAACTGTAAACATGCATTTAATCTAATCATTTTAAACTAAATATTTTAAATTATTTTATTTAAAATATTCTGGCTGTTATTTTACAGCTATAAATGCCAAAAACATTGCAAACCTCAAAATTTATGATCTGGCTAATAATGTACAAAATTAAAACAGAAAATAAATAAAAACTAAAAATATAAATAAAATAATTCCTATTGCCTAAAAAAGTGAGTTGAAAAATGTGGAATGGACCAAATAACTTACCATAAACAGTAAGATAAGCTGATGCAATTGAACCAGATCCTAAAATGTTATTAGTTTGGCAATAATATTGCCCTTCAAGACTGACATGAGCTGATGATATTGTATAATTAGCATCTCGACTGAGCATAATGTTTTCTTGACCTTCCCTCCACCATTTATACTGAGGTAAAGGATAACCAAGAGGCTTTGCCGTGCACTGCATTGTGAAAGGTTTGCCAGAGACTGCTTCAAGTGTGGAAGGTTTAATAATGGTTTCACCAGGTTTATCTGCAATAGGATTTGTAAAAATAAGCAATTACTGGCAATACTAACCTTAGTATTTAAATTACTTTTCATTCAAAAAAATTCACATATATTTATTAATAAAGACAGCATTAAAATTAATCAGCCGTTACATAAATTTACTGAGAGTAGTCACTATTACATCTACAGAAGTTCAAACATTTGAATATACATTTTAAATTACAAGATGCTTTCTTTGTTATAATATGATATTTTCAATATACAAGGGAATATATAAATATTTTCTTAGTTTAATGATAATTTCATAATCATATATACTTAACTATTTAGAATGTAAGTTTATATAATTAAATAAAGTAGCAATTATTATCTTTACAGTTTATCCATTTCATTACAAAGTTATTACTGAAGCATTATGACTTTCCTAGGACAGGAAGTGGTGACAGATTTGATACAAGTTTGATGGAAACAGTGATAACTACAGTGAAACTTATTAAACATTTTTTAAGTATCTTTGGATTGATGATAAACACATTTGCTAGTTTGAGGTGCAAAATAAAAAATATTGCAGAAATTTCTCAATACTCTGTTATATAAAAGAATAACTATGGATCTAAAGGATTTAAATAATCCAAAAGAAAAATATCGCTAAAAATTCTAAATTAATGTGAAATTCATTTTGTTCATAATGCATAAAAATTAGCTGAAGCACTCCTTGATATTTTCTCAATATAATTGTTACAAATTAATTAATTTCAGAAAGCATAGCTCATTTTATGGACAGGACAGGATATCAGTTCCTTTAACAGAAGATTTAACAATAATTAACTCTTCATCTACCATTTGCATCTACTTCTCAAAATACAAACATTGTTGAAATATGTGATAAAATAAATATTTACATATGACTGAAGGTAGTTTTAAAGGTAAAAACTTACGTTTGATATGTATTATAATAGAAGATTTATTAGATGACTCATACTGCATAGATGAACCTGATGGACGAATTGTGACTGAAGCTTTGCAAGTATATTTTCCAGCATCTTCTGAAGATACTGAATCAAGTCTCAAGGTGTCTCCAGTTTGACGAAAGAAAAGATCATCTTCTTTAAACCATTCAATAGTATGAGGAGCAGGATAAGATGCAATATTGCATTTAACTGCTAAAGATTCTGTTAACGATACTTCCTTTTCTGGAATCAAATTTACTTCTGGACCATCTGAAGGAAATGAATGATAAAATTAAAATGCAATATTTTTTCAGATTTTACATAATATTATATCAGCCACTTAAATTGTAATAATTAACCTACTGAGCAGCAGTACATGCTTTATCCAGCTGTAAGATGTTTTGTCACTTGGTACATATAATTTAAGATATTTTGCATTACTTTCTTTAATAATCTAAATATCATTTTAATGAATGTAAATTTATGAAAATTGAGATTAAAATAAGTAATTATGCAAATTTAGCTAATAAATGCTATTTAAATGCAGGTGTACAATCAAGTATTGAAGAAGGACCCTTAGAATTACATTTTTTTAAATTTGGTTAATAAATTGCATAATTATTTGTTGAAAGCCTAGAAAATTTTCAATAAGTAGATGAAGTTTTCTTCCCAGCTGAGCTTCTTTTTTTATACATTCATGCTCCACTATCGTCTTTTTCTAAAAATAAGACATCCTCCGAAAATAAGCCCTATTGTGATTTTCAGAATTTTTTGTAAAATAAGACATCCTCCGAAAATAAGCCCTATCGTGATTTTCGAAACTTTTTGTAAAATAAGACATCCCCCCGAAAATAATCCTTAGTTAAAAGAATGTGACAAAAAGAATTCGTTGAAAAATGCTGTTGATTTATTAAGTATAAGTAATAATATGTTTAGCTTTCTTAATACTCGTATTTCAGAGAAATGTTTGAAACAAAATATTCTGAGAAATTAATTGTTTACCTCTACAGTTCGTTTCAAATTAAGTCTTGGAATTTATCTTAACCAGTTCCCCATTTGCCCCGAGAGAGATACGTTCACAGGAAAGGCATTGTCATCCGTTAGACAAAATAACTGATAGTGATGTCTCCAATGCACTATGAACAGGCTACTTAGACAAGAAGTATTCATTTAACGATAGCTATATCGCAAGACATGAGAGATTCGGACCAATGATTCAACAGGAAATGGATTGGAAGAAAATCAGAATATAATTCGAATTTTATTTATGACGATGTTCCAGAAGAAGATGACATGACTGTAATTAAATAAATTTAAATTTCGTTATTCTGTGTAAAATAATATTAAATACAATATAGATACTTTTATTTTTGCCCTTCCCCGAAAATAAGCCCTAGCACGTATTTTGGACCAAAAAAGAAAGTAAGACAGTGTCTTATTTTCGGAAAAAAAGACCGTATAAAGAACATGAAGGATCAAACTGGATGCAGGGGAGGGGAATGGATCATATCACAAAATAGTGTATAAATTAATTGATGAATCACAAAAAAAAGGCTAATTAAGATCTCCCAAAAAGATAATATCAGTCAGCAACAATAATATAATTTTTTGAAATTTTAGTTTCAAAATAATCATATAATAGGTTAATTACAATTACTACTGCATGCAATTACTAAATTTATTCCCTCTCCCAAAGTTTCACCATAGAGTAATAATTTACACAATAAATTACTTAGCATTAATTCATGGTTTATACCTATCTTCCCAATTACACAATTCTAATTAAAACACATATTTATAATAATGAAAAACTATTTTATCCATAAAAATATAAAAACACTGAAAAGGAATAGCAGAAAAATGCTGATGAATTTACCTTTAACTTTTATTTAATTTATGAATGCAAAAATAATCCATAATTGTATGCTAGCATAATACACATTGTTCAAACATGTTATCTATATTTTTGTCCAAAAATTGAAAGATTCCATTGTTTTTTTTTATTCTACAGAGTACATTAATTAAATTTATTAGGTACACATTACTCTTTTAATATGTGATGTGGTAGGGAATTAATTCGCTTTTTGTTTGTTGCATTTTTTCAAAATTTTTATCAGCATCAGAAGAAGAATCTTCGACATCAACATTTCTCATTTTAATGTCTATCATAATAGTTTCATCACTTGTGGCTAAGTGGTTTCATCACTTACAACAAAGTGGCTAGAAAAAAACTGGAATTTCAATATTTTCAGAATATGACACGGAACTTTTTCAGAGATGCAATAATGATGTCATTACACGTGAATTCTCCAAAATTTATTAAACAACTGCTTTCTATGATTCATTAAGCTCCTGCTCATGCCTTACTCCATACACTCAGACTCAACACGGAACTTTTTCAGAGATGCAATAATGATGTCATTACACGTGAATTCTCCAAAATTTATTAAACAACTGCTTTCTATGATTCATTAAGCTCCTGCTCATGCCTTACTCCATACACTCAGACTCAAGTTGCATTTAGAAACAAGAAAACACTCTTAATCCAATTTTAGTTTTTGACATCTATGTGTGAGTAGCACAGTTGTGGACAAAATTTAAAAGCATTTAGCATTGCAAACAGTATCCTAGGTGTGGCAAAATAGCCTTGGAAGTAATAAAATTCCATCTTACTGATTTTAAATACTATTGTGTTTGGCTATAAAATAAATATGAAACATAGCTAAAACAAGTTTGCATCTTTATTCAACATTTAAAACTTAAATGCTTTAAAAAAAAGAAGAAGAAGGAGGAGATGATGATGATATTCCAAGTAAACAATATTTCCATTACCATTCTACAGAACATAAATTTAAAGTAACACAACAGTATTCATTTTCCTTTGCATTACTATGTGATTCTGATTCATCACTAATTAATCTACTCCTTTTAGAAGTGTATACAGTGGATAGTGAATTGCCCTGTATGTTTGTGTGTCTCTATACAGTCAAAAGTCTTTAATCCGGACTCGTCGGGACTTCGGCGATTCCGGATTATCGATTTTTCTGGATTATAGATCATCAGTTTAAATCTGGTAAGATGGCATGCAGAAATTATAAAATTAAAAATATGAAACCGTAATTTATAAAATAATGAGCAATTATGATCTAAAGGGTATCAAATTAACAAAAAAAGAAGCTTTAAAATTTATTTGTTTACTTTATTAAACATTTCTTCAACGCGCGCATGCGTAAAGCATACATTACGCATATCCGAAATTAGAAAATTGCAACCAGAAAACTATTTGATTGTATTGTGATATTTAATGATGAGGAATTTGATTTAAATCATATCAAAGACGGAGTACATTGAGAGATGAATACTACATTTAGTAAGGAATTATAAGCCGAATAAAATAAAAAATCTGCTCTGAGATAACGATAGTGCTGACAGATCAACTTCCAGTTCATTGCACGCCGCGACGTCCCCCCCCCCGCACAGAGCAGCGTGAAATTGATAAACCGATTTCGGAATGGTTAGAAAACAAAGAATATGCCTTTTATCCATTTTTTGCAGCAATTCCTTTTTTTTTTTTTTTTTTTTTTGTTTGATGGACATCGAAACATACTTTCGTTTTGTAGATCCTTTGGGAGCTTCAGCAACGGAAATTCTATTTGACATAATCGAAAGTTCAAGCTTACTTTTATAAAATTGCTCTTACAGTCTGCAAAAAATAATAAGCCGGATCCAATTCGAAGATTAAGGAACAACGCAATCATCAACATTAACTGAAATAGATAATTTTAGCTTAGCTTATACCGTCCGTTATACATTACACGCGCACGCGAAAATGTATTCTGCGCTTACGCACACGCATATGCGCAGTCGTAAAGGTCTTGCGCGCACGCGTAAACGCCTATGCGCATGCGTCAACGCGGCACATGCGCAGAAAGATTTTAGCTTTGAGGTCCGGATTACGGGTGTCCGAATTAACGACTTTTGACTGTATTTTATATATATATAGAGAGAGAGAGAGAGCCATATGTAGCAGTGGGTCATAAATATATGGATTCAGTTTAACGAACAAATGAGATAAAGTAGGCTTTCAGAATGCAATAATTTTATTCATTTGATGCACTTTAATAAAGCTATACAAAAAGTTTTTTTTTTTTTTTTTTTCATGTGACCTATACAGCAAGAAACTGCAATAGGATAAATTAATTTCATTGCTAAACTATTTGAAAAAAATTGTTTTGATACAACAAAAATTACTCAGAACACATGTTTGTAAAATAGGCATTTTACAAACATTGTCAAAGAAAACAATGTAGGTAACCTTTTAAAAATTTCAAAGCTTTTTCAAACCAAACATGAATATGTGTATATGACATGAATATAAACATGAATTCTGTCTAAAACACTAAATTAAGAATGTGTCTAAAACACTAAAATTAAGAATTTCCTATTTCCATATTTCAATTTAATAGCTTCTCATCAGCAAAAATAGTTTAATACAAATAATTGTGTGAAGTGTGTGTGTGTGCATGTGTCTCAGTTAATGCATTTTAAAGACCTGTTTTTAACAGGATAAATAGTTATTTGCTACTTGGAATCTTCTTTTTAAGGAATGTTTAAAAATTCACCTCACATGAATTTTATCTACGTCTTTCAAAGAAGTTAAATTAACAACCTAATTCATTTAAAAAAGTGGATAATTTCTGAAAGACAAAAGTTGTTTTTGTTAGCAATACTTTCCTTAAGTAACTCTTTACAGACTTTCATCAAACATATATTTGCCATGAAATCATTTAAAACTTTTCTTCTTTTTAGAAATATTACTTAATTGATAAATAATGTATTGTAGTATGAAAATATTTGTAAAAATACAAGAAGTTAAATTATTCCCAAAAATTCTAGCCTTGCATACCAGTACATTAAATTACAGCAGATTTAATTTCACAGTTTTTTTTTTTTTTTTTTTAATTTACACAAAAATTCTTTAGGGCATAAATTTATAGATCAAAAGCACTTTGCAAGTATTTCGATAATACTTACGTAAAACAGAAAGTTCTAAATTTATTTGGGCTTCACCAATTCCATTTTCTGCCACACAAGTATATGTACCACTGTCATCTGGATGAACAGAAGGAATAGTATGATTTGCAGTATGTGACAAAAGTTGGCCTGATTTTAACCATCGCACCGATCGTGCTGGTGGATTTGCCAAAACTAAACAAGCAAGAGTAGCATCATTGCCACTCAGCACTCTCAAAGGATTATAGGGGCCAACTGTAATTCTAGGAGCATCTGTAAATAAAATGAAGTTTATAAAGTTTAAATAAAAAACACAGTTATGAAAAGCATTTGATAAACAAAATATTCCTTGAATGCATATCAGTTCATATACAGTAATAGTTTTGATGCCCAGAATAAAATATTTCTGCAAAGTTATTATCTCAAAATGCATACATTTTGAAAGCTTTTCTAATCCAAATAAAATTTTACCTCCACTTAATACTAAAAAACTTCTCTATCACTTACAAATTGATTAAGTTCTGAAGATTATAATATAATTAAGATATAATTAAGTTCTGAAGATATAACTTTTTCATTCTCTTTTTTATTTATTTATTTTCAGATGCAAATTTTAACATGCATTTTGAATTTATTCACTTCTCCATGTTACATTATCAAGTCCTCAGGGCACAATATAAATTTATTTTATCCTGCATATTGACTCTTTTCAGATTACAGGATATGTTTCTGGCAAATGTCATATAAATGTAGACAAATATGCAATGTGTAATGTAGCAACATGTGGAAAACAGATCCCAGACTTGCTTGAATTCAAAAGGGTACCTTTAGTCAAGTTGAGCACTAATTCCTTGGTCTATCTTTTAGCTGGTAAGTTGGAATTAAAGATCATAAAGATCACTTTTAACACATGGCCATGTAAAACACTGCACATGTTCACTGTGGATTGTATGCACCAAAGTGATGACCCAGATGTGATCACTGCTTCCTCCCACTAATTGAAACAAATGTATCCAGCACCTCCAGATCTCAACTCAAGTAGGTCTGCATATACCCACTGACGCAACAGAAATTGCAACAACTGCATACCATGTTAAAATAATAAAGTGGAAAACTGCATAATAATACATGAAAACACATCCCTTTTTTGTTCTTTGAGCAAAAATGCTCTTTTGTTCCACTGGTCCCTAAGTTTTAGTTAGTAGACAAGAATTCCTAGATTTAGACAAAGTTTTGGACTGTGGATAATTTTCTCCTTATATTCCACCAACACTGCAGTATTCATTCATCAGTAATATGAAACCCCAAACATAATATTAGGGCACATTTAGCCCTGCTTAAATGTTTTTCAGTCGATGCACTGTATACAAAACCTTTGTTATAAGTAAATGTACACAAAAGTAATATTAAATCAAGTGCTTACGTTATTACTTATTGACCAAACTTCAAAATATTACAGGAGCATGTATATAAAATATTTAACATATCAAATTTTATTTTCATTAAGTGCTTAAAATGAAATGCAAACTGGAACTAAATTTTGATGTCTATTATAAGCTTTTCAAACTACTAAGGAATTACAATATTTTACTAGACATGTTAACAGAAACAATAAGTAAATGTATTTTCCTAAATGTAGATTTTAAGAATAATGAACAGAAAAAAAAAAAAAAAAAAAAAAAACCACTAAACCATTTTAAAAATCATGTTGCACAACTTACATTGAACTCTTAATAAAACTGATGCTTCTAGTTTCCTGTTTTCATCCACAGCTCGATTCCAAACAGAACATCGATAGGTGGCATTATCATCCTCCATACGGGGATCAATAGATAGAACACTAGTTGTTGGTCGGTCTGGTGAGCCTCCTTTTTGAAGCTGGCCTTGGAGTGCTCTCTGTCCTTTATACCATTGAATTAATGGATCAGGACTTCCACCTTGACTCATGCAAGTTAAAGCAAAAGTTTTACCTTCTACTCCCATTGGTTTGGGGGGTGTGATTTGTGGTATGCCAGGAGGAACTGTAATTTAAAAAAAATTTATAAGTATGCCATGTAAAAAGAGCAACAAAATAATTCATAATTAGCATGCTATTTAAAACAGACTATGCTGTTACTGTTTAAATTCCAATTTGAAACTTAACAGAACAGTGAATTAAGTCAGTTTCTGCACTTTCAGTGTCTTTTTGCCAAATAGGACCAAAAGTAAACTTTCAGTTTTGTGCACCGAAAAACCTGCCTTCTTGCCCGCTGGACGAATTACTTGTTTTTGCGTAGAAACTAATTTTACTTATAAATTTTTTTTTAATTGTTTTAACTATATTTGGTGCTTTATATTTTTCTATATTTTTTCAATTTTTAATAAAGATATTTTGAAGTTTCATGTATTTTAAGCCTTTCCGCAAGTTTTCAAGTGAGAATTTAATTAATTGAATGAGAAATATATCTCTAATGAAATCCGAGAAAGAAGTTTAAATGAAATGCAGTAAAAATGTGTATAATTTAATATTCCGTAGGAGGAAGTCATGAGGTGTATACATCAGATTTTTTTTTTTAATTGATGTTACTTTCGGCTCGCCGCATATTTGAAGTACCGCCATGACGCACCGACACTATACATTTACAAACATCCATGCCTTCTCTGCGATTCGAGCCCGGGCCCTTTGCGGCAGGGCAGTCTATGACGTCTATACCCAAAATAAACCTACGTTTGATTTTCTTCCTAGCACTCCGCCAGCCTAGAGTTAAAAACCGAATTCCTAGCCGTTCACCTAAGCAGTTAACACTGTCAGTTGTGCTTTTTAATCTCCGCGCTGTTTTTTAATAATAATAAATGCTATATTTAGGGATTTATTTATGAAAATATAATACATACATTTAAAATCAAAGCATAATTTAATATAGTATTACATTAGACATATTCAAATAGTAGTAACCATGTATCAAATATTAAGGTACGAAAATGATTAATTGTGAATTGAAAGCAATCTTATGCAAAGCATACTGCAGAATAAAAATTTAAGATATAAATAACAACAAAAACTAAGTTTCAAATACCAGATTTACGCTTTGTACTTCACTAGCGTTTAGAATGGTAGGAGTGATTCTCCGCGAATGAATTTCGGCGGCACCTGCGGTGTTTGCTTCACCGCATATTGGCTTTGATTTGAAAGTCTCTTGAGGCGATCGAGACTGTTTTACATTATATTTCCGAGAGCTTGCTTTCTTCTACTTATATTTTTGGTAAAACATCGAGATTTGAGATTATTCAAGGTAACTGAGATTGTAACCACCTCGGTTAATCGAAAACTCGTTTGATACAGACTCAATTTTAAATCAGGCCAGTTTTTCTTTCAACAAGATTTTTTTTAAACAAACACCTTTATTAATAAATAAAATTACTTTCTTTCATTTAAACAAATAATCCACACAACATTTTATTTCGTCACAAAGTATTCATAAAAACTGAAACGCAGTTTCAATGTTATCGTCACCATCAAGCTCATCACTGCAATTTTTATTATCTACTAGGCGAATGATAAATTTGTCCAGTCAACTGCTAACTCATAGCCCACTCAATTATAAACTAGGTTTTCTGTTTTCTACATTTACCCATTTTGAAGCGCACATACGAATCCATTGTCAGTTGGTGTCTGACTGTTAGCCTTGTGAATTCCTCTTATGTGTAAACTAGTCGTTTATCGTTATGCACGATAGGAAGACCATCACATAACCCAATACTGATTTATTTTAAAGTGGAGGCCAAAAAATCAAGACTTGCGAATGTTATTGATTTTCGTTTTTACTCTTACCACATTTTCCAAGTGATTTCTGTAAACTTTTAGCTCTGTTAATAGAGAACCAGGGGCGTAGCTAGAGTTTCTAGAGCCCGGGGACAACTAAAAAATTTGCGCCCCTTTCTGTGTGCCAGAAATGGAAAATATTTCATTAAAAAATTTCCTAGTATGAATTTGGTGCCCCTTGGATGCTGCGCCCGAGGACAGATGTCCCCCCTTGCCCCACTGTAGAGAACTCAATTGATAGAACACGGTTAGTAGAAGATCTACTGTACTGGTATTCCATGACGCATTAGATTTTAATTGTTCATCCACGAAACCTCATAAAACCCCTAAGAAATATTACTAATTAAAGTCTTCCAAGATCCTTAATTTGGCTTTCAAGTTAAAAAAATGCATTGCTTTTAAGGTTCTCCGAAAAAATTTTAAAAAAATATATATATACTTACTCAATAATGTATATCTTTATTTTATTTCTTAATATCTCGGATGAAATTTTAATACGTCTAATTCAAGTAATTAATAATATAACTAGTTAATAATTTTTAAAAGCGTCTTTACAATTATTTGGGTCGTTAAAAAAAGTGTTTCTAACAAATACTCGTATATTACCTTAACGGAACCTTAGTGCAATTTAATCGCCTGCGGCGCGGCCACCTAACTACGAGTTTTTCTGCTATGTTTTCGTTGACGAATTTCAATGTATTGAAAATAGCGGGTTTCTGAATTACTAAATGAAAGACATTCATACGTCATAACGACATAAGTTATAATCTATTCATAGAATTTAAAAGAAATTTTTAAAAAATCTGAAAGATTTGAGATTCAATTCAACAGCAATATCGCAAAATAATTTTAAAATGAGCATTTATTTAGATTTTGCGACGCACAGTCTCGCACGCTGGAGATAATTTTTTTTTTTTTTTTTTTTTTTTTTTTTTTTTTTTTTTTTTTGTACAACGTTGCCATTGCTCGCTTTGAAATCCTTCAGTTTGTTAATCTTTTACAAAATATGAAAACGATAATAAAACAAATTTCAAATCTGAGCTTCCAGATGTCCATATTCGCAGGAGAATTACGTTATTCAAATTTTGATGGCTCTAGGTACCGTTGTTTTATCACAATGCGAGCAACATACATACATTTATGCAGATTCTTCATTATTTAATTTCTTTAAATATAATACAGGACGATAATATTTGGTGGCAACAATTTCAAAAGTGAAGCAACGCTTTTAGTAAATCAACACACTATGCAAAAACGAAATTAATAGTCCTTCTGGGCGAATTGCCGCTTTGGACTAAAAATCTTAATATAAAATACTGCTTTCTAGTTCATTATCTCCTTGATTAGGCAACACACTTTAAATGAGATCTGCTATCAAAACTAGATTCAGAAACAGTCAAAATACATATATTGTGGCAAAGAAAGAGGGATGAGAACTATGTAACTTTGCTTAAAAACTGTTGGAAATATTTTCTAAAAAAAAAGAAAAGAAAAGGAAATCAGGAAAGCATTTTAAAAAAAGTACTTACTTAAAACAGTTACCGAGTAGAAAGCAATTTCTTTATAGCCGCTATGTGGAAGGGATGATCTACAGCGATACAAAGAATTATGCTTTGCATATTCTGCTTGGAGTATTATGAGATCAAATCGTCCTTCTTCAGTTGAAGCATCAACGGAATAAGAATCATGACTGAAAAACACCCCAGCAGCATGAATGAGGTCGGGCTTATTATCATCAGACATAAGAACCCAGAAGATTTGATCTTTTGATAGTGTTCTGGAGCCGAAACGACATGGAAGACGTACGCTCTTACCTTGGACTACATCAACGTTTTCGAGCTGTTCGCCAAAAACGCAAATGATGGCTGAAAAAGAGAAACACAATACATGAATAAGTGCACAAGAATAACATTTAAAAAGAATCACACTTAATTAATTGTAAGGCACGAAATATGCAAATTAATATTAAGTAACATTAACATAATTTAGTTGTAGAGACATTATGTTATTTCGAAACAATAGACATGAAAAATGAGGAATGCCCCCGCTGGCACTCGAATCTCGGACCTTTCGAAAACGCGCCGAGTGTGCTGACCATTACACCACGAAGGCATGCTAAGAATGCGGGAGAAATATCTTATATACCCCCTTTTAAAGGGTGAATGGGGATTAGGGGACCCAGTCGTCAAATCTTAGTGGTGGAGAATCATCATCAACCACTTTTTTTAGTTCGAGCACCACTGTAGAGATATTAGAAGCAATAATAGATTTATTTAATAAAAATGCGTTAGTTCAAGAAATACAACAACTTTTACTACGCCTTCCTGCTTCCCAACGTCCGAACCTCGTCTGGGTCAAAGCACATCGAGGTATCTTAGGTAATGAACTAGCGGATCAACAAGCCAAAGCGGCAGCTCAGGCAAGTAGAACGTCCTATCTATGTTTATCTTCTTCCTTCTTCTTATGTTAAAAAATTTACATGGAAAATTCTTTTGATAAAGTGGCTACAAGAATGGATTTCTGGTACAACTGGTCGAAGAAGAACATATAAATTTATTCCTAAAGTCTCATCAAAATTATATTCAATCTCTATCTCAGTTACCTGGTTTGCCACAAGACATGGCATTTCAAGAGCTACCTTCATCGCTTTGGATTAAGCTCAGATAATCTTTGTTGAGTGTGGAAATATTGCCGATCCCGATCATATCGTTTCCAATTGTACTCATCATGCGCAATATCTTCTAAAAGTTCCATCCAAACAATTTTGGCCACAGTGGTTCAATAATTTAATAAAATATAAAACAAGCCTCAGCCAACTAGACAAAATAATTTCACACTGCAGATCTTCAACACTTACTGTTTCCCATAGCCAGATGCAGAATCTATTCTTCTCTTTAACGTTCAATGTTTTTTCTTTTTAACTGCTTAACAATAGCACTGTACTTTACTTTTTTTTAAATTATTTTTCTTATTATTATTATTCTAATTTTAACATCAGAGTTCTGTAACTTTGCTAGGATATGTTAAAATAGCTTCTCTTTACTATTAGTTCCTTTACGAAAATTTTGTCAAAATCATGTGCTCTTTGGTTGTGGTGTATATCCTAGTTCTTTAAATCAAAAATCTTATCAAAAATCTTAATTATCACTCAGTATTAATTCAGTCCAAATTTCCAATAACCATGCCTAACTTTCATATCAATGCTTTTTACATTTTCCCTTCAAGACATAGTTTCCATCCAAAATCATTTTTCTTTTTCTAATCGTACTATGCACCTACTGCACAATGCACAATAGTCTTTAAAACAAAAACTTTCATTTCCTTATGATTATCGTTCAATTTACCACATCTGATCCGCCACCCGGCCCTTCGCTGTGGTACGCTGATAGTGGTTTCTTCCTTCCGTGGGATGGCATCATCCTGTTCGTTGTCCTACAGGACAGCTTAGATCAGGAGCCGTCTCGTCGGGTAGAGCTGTAGAGATGTTAGGTTATTTTGAAGCAGGAGAGGTGAAAAATGAGCAATGCCCTCATCGACACTAGAACCTCGGACCTCTCGAATACGAGCCGATCGTGCTGACCGTGACACCACGAAGGCATGCCGAAAGAAGGGAGAAAATACCTTATATACTCACCCCTTTTAAAGGGCGACTGGGGATTAGGGGACCCAATCGCCAAATCCTGGGGTGGGGAATCATTATTCACCAACCTTTTCATATCGGGCACCACTGTACAGTCATTAGTTTTTTTTAATTCGCACTAAATGGATTTAAGATCATACAGCATTATATATATATATAATAATTAACAAGCAAGGTAGTAAGTACAATATTGTAAAGACCAATTTGGTCTAAAAAATGTTGTTTGCGCAATATGCTGCAAAATTAAAGGATAATCAGAAATTGTAGAAAGCTCACCAAAAAGTTACCAGCAACTATGGCTCCAAGAAAAAGCTTCAACAGATTTTTTAAAAGAAACAATGTCATTGAGGGGTGAAAAATTATGCTACATGCGAAATAGAATGTAAAATATATTAAACACAGTTAAATACTAATCGTAGGAAACTACTAATGGCAAAAAATACAGTAAAGTATCTATCGATGTGATAATTGAAAAGTTAAAACATAAAAAAAAAACAATCGATGGTACAAGTGAAACATAAAACAAACATAAACATATAAAAATACAAAGCGGAAAATGGTAAATTAGCTTAACCCGAAGTTCAACCTGGCTTTTAAAGGGAAATTTCTAGCTGAACGTCGAATTAAGCTAACTCCATTACGCGTTTCGCCGAAACAGACAATTGAAACTTTTGCGTTACAAATTTTAATTAAATAGACGAATTGTCTTAGAAAATTTATTAGTCTCAATTCTCTGTTAGGACCCTAAGCTATAGCTTGTGTAGCTTATACGTAAATCCGGCCCTGGCTATATATATAAGGCGGGAGAAATACCTTATAAAGTGATTAAGTAACCAGGGCAAGGCGGGAGAAATACTTTATAAAGTGATTAAGTAACCAGGGCCGGATTTACGTATAAGCTACACAAGCTATAGCTTAGGGTCCTCCAAAAAATTAAAATATAGTATAAATAGTATTAAAATATATTATAACAGACTTATAAAGGGCCCCATATCTCAAATAGCATAGAGCTTTATCAAGTCTAAATCTAGCTCTGTAATACAATTAAGTAACATTTCTAGCGTTAATGTTCGAGATATTGCAAGGTCGAGTCTAGTATACCATACTAAAGAAATATCGCAATATGGTTACATGGTTTCCTAATGTGCACAAAAGTTATTTTTAGATTTTCAATATTATCTGTTTGCCCTTTTATTATCACTCAGTATTAATTTTTAACTTAAACAAATACAAATAAAAAACTGAAAAAAGTTAAAAATTAGTTTTAACTTCGTTCAGTCTTCAAGAATACTTAACAACGTTAAAAATTAATTTCCTTCATTCTTAAAGAATAATTCACTTTGTTCTGCAACTCGACTACCTGCCTGACGCAAGAAGCCTAATTTTTGGCCTGATTTATCATTTGATAAGTTTATGTGTTTAACATTAATTATCTTTTGCTTTTGACTTCAAAGGGGGTGTATGCCAAATTTTTTAACTAAGGTATTTAATGGCATTTGCACACTTATTAATAGTTTAAGTTCAATATAATACTAGTGACAGAAATTTTAAATGTTATAAAAATTAAAATCTTATATATTAAATGAGTAAACTAGAAATAATATAGTACCTGAGGGGAGGGGGGAAAGAAAAAGATTCGTAAAATATACCATGTTAACAATAGATATCGTTAAAACACATGATATAAAGCAAGCAAATTCGATTGGCAAAACTGAGTCACTCTAATGACTCGATGTGCAAGATTGCTTTTAAGATTTATGAAAAACCACAATATTTGCAAATGGAGTCAAAAAAGTTATTCTTGTTCATAATTTAAGCTTAAATATAACAGATGCTTAATATTTTAAATTTCAAAGCTGATAAAAAATCAGTAACAGATTTTGTAACAATTTGATGCTGTTAATGCACTCCTCTCCCCAAGAATAACAGCAGATTTGCTAATCCATATTCGTGGAGCCCAGGGCAAAAAAGACTGAAAGAAAGTTTTATTGCTAATGAAATTGACTAGCTACAGAAATGCAAATATGAAACATAGGAAAACATTTATCTTATATAAAGCAAGGCATATTTCGTTTCATATTTTAATTGTATTAAAATAATTCAAATTCGTCAGTGGATCTTATTTATTAAAAAGATATTTTATATGGCAAAGCATTACAGTCATAATAATTACCAAACATATTTAAGAGTAGAGGCGAATAACAGAAGTTATTTCATTTCTCGTGTATAACCTTGGAAAAAAATTAATTATGAAACTTTTTTATTCAATACTTTTTTTCCTTTCATAAACATCGCAAATAAAAAGTTGTGATAAACAATTATATAATAATACTATATAATCGTCTTACTACCGTAAGCATAATGTTGAGTTATGTTATTTCTGAAATCATACTAAAATAAGATTAAAATATTTATTCAAAAGCTACCAAACAAGCATTTCCCACCAGAGGCACGGCAGATGAGGATTTATAACAATAAAATAGCAATAAAGAGATTCAAAGAATGAAAAAAAAAGCCCTTTTTTCTCGCCTAGGGCTGGGAAAAGCTTAAGAACATCAGGCTTAGGTCAGAGACGTGTAAAACGACAAAACTTTTTGGACCACAGCTGTGTTTGGCTTTGGGATAGGGTTTGACATTCAGTAAACACCAGTTCGACCGGCTTTTGCGAGTCAGGAAGTTCAGGCACAGAAGATGAATTCTTTCTTTGCAGAATGCAGCCTTCGGGGTGTATGTTTCGTGCTGGCATTTCAGTCCAGGGTCTTCTGCGCCTTTTATTTACCCAAGCAGCTTTCACAGATTGAATCGATAAATTATATCCAGAAGTGAATGTTATTCATTCATTTTCTGAATCTCATATTTCGAACCAAGAATACATTAAGTAAACTTTGAAGCTTGGTTTAAAAATAAATATTAAGGGATGGTACTCCTCTCTCTTTCTCACATCACAAGTACTTTTCAAATGCCATATTTTCATGGTAAGCTGTCGAGACGATTGCATACTTTCGTAAATCATAATAATTAATTTAAACCTATTCTTTCAATTATTTAAAATTAAACAACTGAAATGAAGTATCCTGGTTGCATTTGATAAATGAAAAACCATAGCTGGAGCACTTCGAAAGACGATTCATTCTTTCAGTGAAGCGACTTTTTTTTTTTTTTTTCCAGCAATTAGCATTTAAATATGAGATCATTTGAAATAACAGAGCTTATTTCAATAATATATATCAACACATTCGGATTTGAAAGAAAATTGTAACTAAGAACTGAAAAAAATATTTCTTAGTAAGAAATGGCATTCTAAGATTCAAGGATAACAAATGTTTTCTAAATAGAGGGAAAATTAGAAATTGAAGCATTTCTTTCCTTCTAAGGTATACAAGACCGAGAACTGAGAGAAAAATGCATTCAATCAGATATTTTTCATCAGCCTTAAAATAAATGTGACGACTTTCATCTCCTTTCAAATCCTATAACCTCCCAAAAAACTTCAAATGCAGAAGGGTCAATAACAATAGGAAAACTTTTACTACTTTCTATCAAACATTTCCATTCTTCACTGACTTTTGCTGAAATTTCACCCGCCGTGATCCTTATCGTAGAAGAATAGCAGTCTTCCTGCGTGAGTACTTATTGAACAATTTCCAAATTCGAAACCATCAGATGGGGACTATTTTCCCTAACACTTAACAAAGACAAAGTCGAACTTGACCATGGAATAAAATAAGAGTAACCTCTCCTTGCTGGGAAGGGGTAGGTGAGAGAGAGATGCGTTGAAATAATGAAATGGCGAGTAGGGGGCACTAGTATAATACGAAGGACAATGGGTTCGGTCAGATGGCAGGACATGCTTCAGTGCTTCGCGTCTTTCTCTCTGATGCATAGCGAATACAGACAGCATTGCCGGCTTCTTGAGAACTTCTCTCGTGACACTCTTTGCTTCCGTTGCCATAGCGGCGGGGGATTTTCACACAGTCCCAATATATATACGCATGCGCGTACACTAAGTTTCGTTCTTCCATGATACCCAAGAATCCAAAGATTAATTTTTACGAGTGCCTAGGGTTTAGTAGCCTCTGCCTCCACGTCATAAAAATAATAATGAGCAGAATTGAGAAATGATACATGAAAATCGTTAAGGAAAATAAATAAGAAAGAAAACATGATTTGAGAAAGTTTAAGGAGAAAATGTAAACTTGCTATTAAAACTCCACTGTTCCTTTACAGTGGTGAATATTGCAACAAAATAGAATTAAGTGGAAATAATGAAGTGACAGTCTTACAATACAGAAAAAAACCAAAAAATTAATTTTACGTTCCCTTTGCTTCATACATTTCAGTTATAGACATGTCCATTTGGTAGCTAAAAAGTATACATGTTAAGTAGTTCTCCTTACTATCACCTTACTTTCTGGTAATTTAAAAAGACAGTAAAAATATTTTAGAAGTTGACTGTAAAGAAACCATTTAGAAAAAAATTCCACTGCCTATACATGCTTAAGGTTTTAAACATTCGAAAGAACAAGTACTACGCAAAAACAAAGAATAGAATTACAAAGAAAAAAAAAAATTCAGAGTTGAGGATGCGCTGAAAGTTTCGTAGCAGGTACCGGTTGAAAAGCAAGTCATTCATTTAGTTTAGACGTAGAGAAACTAAATTCTATTTTGGATGAAACCTACAACAAAAGTCTGGGTTTTAGGTTAATTTAAGAAAGAAAAACATAAATAAACATAATAAAAATTAGATAAAATAAAATCTGAAAGCCTTCAGATTTTACATTAAGCCGAAAGGGGCGTTTTTTTAGCGTTTTGTGTTACCTTTATTTATTACATATCATGTTTTTTGCACTTAAACCATAAAATTCAGTTCAACAGCTATACTGCAAAATAATTTTATAATGAGCATAAGGTATTTTTCCCGCCTTCCTAGCGCGTCTTCGTGGTCTGGTGGTCTGCACGCTGAGCCGGTATTCCAGAGGTCCGTGGTTCGATTCCCTGCGAAGGCATTTGCTCATTTTTCATCAAAAAAAATTTCAAAAATTGCCTAATGTGTCTACACTAGCGCTCGAACTAAAAGGGTGTTGGATGATGATTCTCCGGACGCCAGGATTTGGCGATTGGGTCCCCTAAAAAGCCCAGTCGCCCTTTAAAATGGGTAGTATATAAGGTATTTCTCCCATCTTCCTAGCCTGCCTTCGTGGTGTGGTGGTCTGCACGCTGAACCGGTATTCCAGAGGTCCGTGATTCGATTCCCGGCGAAGACGTTTGCTCATATTTTATCTCTCCTGTTTCAAAAATTACTTAGTGTCTCTACAATCTTTAGAATTTCCGATACACAGTCTCGCGCGTTGGAGATAAAAATGTTTTTTACCCCGTACAATGCGTTGCCATTGCTCGCTTTGAAATCGCTGAGTTTGTTATCAAAAATTCGTTCAAGTTTTACAAAATATGATATAGATAATAAAACAAATGCGAAATTTCAAATTTGGGCTTCTAGATGCCCATATTCGGGTGGAAACGTAAGTTACTCAAAATTGGATGGCTCTAGGCACCGTTGTTTAAGCACAATGCGAGAACACATACATACATTTATGCAGATTCTTCATTATTTAATTTCTTTAAATATAATACAAGGCTCTAATATTTGGTGGCAACAATTTGAAAGTGAATCAACGTTTATAGTGAATCAACGCAAAATGCCAAAACGAAATTAATAGTCCTTATGGGCAAATTACTCCTTTGGACTAAAAAGAACTTGTTCTTTTGAGTCTCCATTTATTCCCTCTTCTAATGCGAAAGAAATTTATGGCGGGCATGTTAGATAGAATAACAAAATATAACTAAAAATTAGGAAGAAAGACCTGAACTTTGAAGTAAAAATTCACTTTAAAGATGTGGGCAAAATAAAGAGAAATAATAATTAAAAAAGTTATTGGATTATTTAATGTAACTTGTAACTAATAGGTTTTAATTAAATATCAAAGAAAATTTTTAAAACTAGATATTTAAAATAAATTAATTGATTAATAAACAAACAAAAAATAAAAGAACAACAAATGCATGAGAGGTTTCACCTGTAGTTTCAAACATCCATTTGTTAATTTGTGCTATTCTGGATTGTTCTAAACATAGAAACTTAAACTATTATACTAGTAAAGATAGATTACATTGTTATGAAAGGAATTCAGAAGTTATTCAAATCATATTTATTAGTTTACTTTACTTTCCTCTACTAATTTTTGTTAAATCAGATCATATTCACGACATAAATTAATATCACATCAAAGAAACATGGATACAAAAGTATTCTAATTAAAGAAAAGTCAGTACAATCTCTAGGCAACTCAAATATCACATGAAAGAATTCTCACCTGGAATCAGGATCGTCAAGATATTGAATAAGATCCTTTCTTCCATTAAACAAAAACAGCCCTTTAGAGGAGAAACGGCGTAGCCTGGAGCTCTTTTATGTCTATCAAAACACTATAATTGGCTTTAGAATCATAATCGAGGGATACTGATATCGTTTGAACGATCAAAAGAAAGGAAAAAAAAACTTCTTAGCCTTGATTATTCGGATAATAAATAGATGTCGCTTCCACCGCTGATCGGTTTAAATAACTACTGATTTATTTTTTAAAAAATATCTGAAAAGAAATTCCATTGTAGCTGCTTTATATAATAGCAGACGATACAGCTAGATGAATGTATCAGCTCCGATGGCAATGATTGCTTTAGAAGCGTCCTATTTAAAAGTTAGAGCAAGCCATTCGGAATAATTTTGTATGTTGCTAAATATTAAGACTTTTCTACTTTTATGTATTATAAATAATATTACGTTCACATTTAAAAACGATTTATGCCATCATCGTAAATCCAAACCAAGTATGATACAGGGACATATCAAAATCGTTAGGCACTTATTTCGACAACGTTCGGCTTTCTTTTGCAAATGCAATTACGGTTGCAATTACTTACTAATTTACGTAACTTAAATATTCCAATTACTCTGAAACTTAACTGAATTTTAAATTTCAGATTTCTCTACACATTGCTTTTTTTACTTAATTCATATAATCAACTTACGTTTTAAGTTGTTTTCGTAAGCCATTCCCCCCTTCCCCTCCCTTTTTAAAATAGCTTTTAAACAACAGTCCTTTATTTTTCTCTCGTGAAATAAACATACTAAAAAATAACAATATATTTAAAATTCATGAAAATAATGGAACACAAAATTCTGTTTGACAAGAAATATACCACTCGTGCAAATCCGAGCTATCAATTACTAGGTTACTTTGAAACAATATTTTCAATTTATAATAATCATTGAGTAAGCCCTCCTTAAACAAATTACAGGATTACGTTTTAAAGATAAATACACTGCTTTATTTTACAAACTGTTGATCAAGTATTCTCAGGAGATCTTTAATACAAAAGTAATTATGTAGGGAAATGCTGTGGCGTGTAACTGTGGTGTATGCGGTAAAACTCGATTATTCAAGCTCCAACTAGTTAAAATTATAGAACCCAATATTTTTCTCCATAAATCAAATTTTCAATAATTCGAATTTTTTCATGGTCCTTTCAGTTTTAGTTTTTTTAAGTTCGACAGTATTTATTTCGCATACAAAAAATACATAAGAATCGTTGTGAAATATATAAGAAAATGTTACTCATTCAGCTAGCCAAGACTATGACAATAGATGCCACACGCTGTTTGGTTAAATTTTAATTCTTCAAGTTTTAAATGTACAATTCTGCTTCATTGCCTCCCTTCTCAAGGTTATACATAAGGGTTCTCGAGTTCCAACCACTCCGATTTCCAAGATACGGTGTTTTAAAAATTCGAATGTGGTAAGACTAGCAACAGGGTACCCGTATAAAATTATCACCCGCATCCATCTTCCTCGTTATCGATTAAAAAGTCGTTTTCACCTGCAGTCTTTCCTGTGGCTGAAAAGGAAATGTTTTTACTTCATAAGGAAGACCGATGAGCGAATCCCACATTGTCCAATTAAAATCAGCAGGAGTTAATGCCAAGATATGGCAGCATTTAAGAAAATTACAGGTTCCTTCAGATAAAAATTAGTTATTAAAAAAGAAAATATTTACGGGGGTGAGAATCTGAACAAATTTTAAACAAACGAATAGATTTTTCAGAAGTTAATACAGATTAAATGTTACAACTGCTAGGCAAACAATGTACTAATTTATGCCAGAATTAACCGTGTTTAGGATGTTATATTATCATCCTCTACTGGTGTTAGTATGAAATTTATCAAAGGTATATAATCTTGTCTTAATAAAACATGAAATCTTAATAAAATAATAAATCTTAATAAAACATGAAAACAAAAATACGTTTTAAAATTTTATCTTATTTTCTTGTTAAGATGCATTCTTTTTGCAAGACTTTAAATAAAAAGTATCATTCAAATGGCTTGCAAGTCAAATCTGAATAAGCCAAATCTGAAATCTTTAATAAAGCATCAAAATCTAATTTTAAATAAGGGATCAAGATTTCATACTTATAATTAACATTCAAAAACTCACCAAATTTACGAATACAAGAAAATGGCTTTGCAGTATTTATATTAAAACATAATTGAAAAAAATTTATTCTTCCCATTCTTTCATCTAAGGCGATATTTAATGTTAAATAATTTTAAAAACTGAGAAAGTATTAGGCATTCCTGGACTAATTATCTTAATGAAACTAAAAAGCGGTTTCTTATTCTGTGGATCAACAAAATTTTAAAAATGTTTTAATGGATAAACAATAACGACAGTAAAAGCAAATTTCCACCTAATTCAATTGCATTTGTTACTTAAACATGTCAGCTTTTTTTATGAAATATTATTCTCAAAAAATGTAAAAATCTACTATTTAAAGAACGATAGCGCACTGCATGGAATATGTTGCCAATTTACGAACAAAAAATAAAAGACCCGCAGAAGCAAATCAATTTAAAAAAAATATCTGATCACATAGCTTCCTTGTACGGCCTATTAAATTATACACGTATTTTGCTGCACTTCATTTAAACTTATATCGTCGAATTTCACAGATTATATTTCTCATTCAATTAATTCAGTTCTCTCTTCGCGGCACGGCAAAAATGCATAAAAACTCAAAACAGCTTTATTAAAAATTGCAACATACAGGAAAACATGAAACACTAAATACAGTTCAAAACAGTTAAAAAAAAAAAAAAAGCAATCTTTACAAGAAAAAATTAGAGTTTCTACGCAGAAACAAGCAATTCGGCTAGCATGTAAGTAGACAGATTTTTCGGCGCACAAAACTGAAAATTTGCTTTTCATCCCACTCGGCAAAAAGACACTAAAGTTGATGCACAAACTCACTTAATTCACTATTCTACTAAGAGTTTCAAATATAAACAAATAGCAGCTTCGTTAGGTTTAGTACCACTTGAAAAACTTTTAAATTGTTGATAATTCTACAACTTTTCTAAGCAAATTAACTTCCTGGATTCGACCTAGGTTCGAATCTCGGGGAAAGTCGTGGCTGTAACTGTCCGTCCCTTAGCCTTAGTTTAGAATAATGGACTCTGTTACAACTGCAACTGTTCACAATCTGCCATTGGGGGAAAAAATATCCTTTTTGACTTCTAAATTTCTGAATTCTAAACGATTAAAGGTATTGAAAGAAAATATCATATTTCTTCGGCTTTGATTACCTATTGAAACTAAGAACGCTTTTCCCATTCTGTGGAAGACTACAGTTATATTTTAATAAAAATGCTGTTAAGACACTGCTAATTTCAAACATAAAAAACAGACATAACTTCCTTTAATGCGCCATAATTACCTCAAGATTTATCATTTGTTACAACAGTTACAAGCATCTCTGGATGAAAACGGTTTTAAAATGCACGAAGACCTAGTGTTTAAAAAAGAACCTCATTCTTTTAACAAGAAGTTATAGCAGAAATAACAATGCTTCATTATGACACCAATTTATTGCGCGCTAATCCGTGATTCATTTCGGAACGGATGACTCATGCCATGAAGAATACAATAATAGCTAGATTCTGTCTTCATAAGACATTGCTGCTGTTCCACCTGCGGCTTGGGTGTCCCCTCGGGATTAGGATTTAATATATGAACAATTATTTTAGTTGCAGACAAACGTGCATTAAAGATAAAAAAAAGAACTGAATTAGCACTGTTACCTTTCACCAACGGATGGGAAGGAAGCCAAAAATTGGCGTTCATTTACTCCAGAACATTTTAGATCGCATGTAAACAGGTGAAATGTTTAAAACAGAAATCAGAATTGAAAAATATGAAATTGAATTGACAGAATTCAGAATTGAAAATATGAAATTAGTTAAATTTTAAGTCAAAATTAAGCTAAATTTTTATATACAAAAAACTGCTTTAATTTCCGCTTAACAAAGCACTCTTAAAAATAACTCAACGATTCTGCTACAAAATAGGACTTATTTGCGTTTCGTTTGCTCGTTGTAAATGATAATATGCTCGATAATATGCTTCAAACAACTGTTGCCAATCAGTGTACTGTAATTTCAATCCTGTTCTCTGTAGCATACGTAGCATGCATTAGAAACTGCCTAGAACAGCATGTGAACACCTTCTTATACATGAAATATGTCTAAAGACTTCGGAATATGTTTGTTAACCTCGAGAACTATCGTTTTGGGTGCAATTTAGCCTCAAGGACAATAGCACCCCCTTAGTAACTCCTTTAGTAACTAAGGAACACAAAGGTCTAATTGCAAGGGGCAGTACCTATTGTAAGAGACTCACTGGACTGTGGAAAAAGCGATGCTATCGGACAGCGTCATAATCAGACGAAGCGATTGTTTTCGTTTAGAATTTGCACCACGGCATATCACGTGACGGAGTTTGAGCCAATAAGATCCTTTGCTACCGATTGCGTTTGGCCCGATTTAGCCTAATAAGGCACGCTTTTATAAAATGGCGGCTCGGTCTTCGTAATTTGTTCTAGGCTCTTTGTGTAATAAGGAAAGAAATAAAACATATCCTGCTGGGTCAGCAACTGTTAAGGAATAAGAGTTTCTTTAAGCTACTGTTACCTTTAAAACCATTATTTAATTCTCGCACACGTATACTGAAAGTCGGTGCCTATTATTCACTTCCTTCTTTAACGTATCATATAAAATAATAGGAACACTTCTTCTTACTTGCATGCAAGATATTAATCTACTATATTATAAGAAGGTTAAGTTTTGATACAAAATTCAATACAGATCTATTGTATGTTTTAAGATTCAAACTGTTTAATTATTAGAGTTTCTTCAATGCACACTTTTGTTAACAGAACATTATATTCCCAGAATGTTCATATGGGCAAATGTGGAATATAGTTAATAAGGCATAATTTTAAAATCAGATGTTCTTCTTGAAATAAAGTTAGAGAATGCCTTTAAATTATATAGACTAAAGATAACCATTATCCTTTACAATAACTTACTACAGAAGTCAAGATCACGAAAAAGATTCACTAATTTCTAACAATTTATCGCCATCGAAATAAGAAAGCTAAA